TGTCATAAAAGGTGCACAAAATATTCCAACATAAGTATTGTAAAAGTATGAGAATCAACAAATCATGTACCTTTCTATTATGGAACAAAGGAGTATATATAGTGGTTCATTAATTTATACTTACAGTGCAGGTGGAATTGTGGAGCTGTAAGGCTGATCAATGTTGAGCAAAGTGTTTCTGTGATTGGTTGATGCCATTGCAAAGAATGAGTCAGGACAAGTAATAGTAAGTTTAGTAACTTATAACTTCCATGTTGCCTCAATTATTTTATATCATAAATGGTTAGTAGAAAGAATAATGTAGCACAAAATGTTTATTAATAATTCTTGTCACGGTTCCACTCTCTTCCTTTCTCACTTTTATTTATTTATTTATTTAAGATAGACGAATTGCATATTATAATCAATTAATATTTATTTATTTTGTAATATATTAACCTCAATTCTCATGACTGGTTTAAATATTTAATAATAATGACTATTTATTCAAAAATTATTTATTTATTTATTGCATTCTTAATATAATAAACATTTGTTATATTATAAAAATATTATTATACTAATTAAATGCTTAAACCCAGTTTTAAAATTAAGATTAATGAAACCGATTTATTTAACATTTTCAATAGACGGACAAGTCATTGGATTAAAATCCAATGCTAAATCTTCAAAAGCACAACAAAAAGATAGTCATAACATACAACACAAGTAATGCTAAGAACGGTTTTCTTTTCAATACATCTTATTAAGTACTTAAAAATTATTATAAAAGAATATGTATTAAAGGCTTTTTATGAATTTGAGATGATAAATGTTTACATTTGCAATAAAATAAAATATTTTTAACTTCTTAACAGCCCTTCAACACACATGAAATTCAGTTACATTCGTTTATCACATGTATAGCTTATGATACTTCTGCAAGAAAACAAAAGTAAATACAGAATCAGCTTCAAAAGAAACCAAGGTGATGGTAATGGTAATGGTATAGATATAACATACACTTGTGCTTTAGCCGTCTAGGTAAATACGGTCTAGATTATTAACATATAGTTGATTTAAGTAATAAATATTTTATTCTCCTCAACTAAAATTATATTAATTTAAAAATATTTACCGATTTAATATTATTTTAATACAACATTGAAACAAAATGCATCACATATTTTAGCACCACATGAAATAAAAGGAGTATAATTGTGCCACCCTTCCACTGTGCACCACAATCAGAAGTGACATATAGCATATAGGATGAGATGTGTGGCGTTTGGTAAATGTGCATCACACAGTATAGACAAAATATGATTGTTTGAACAAACTACTGTGATATCAAACTTTTTTTGCTTCCTCTTTTGTCGGTTTTTCATTGAATCTCTTTGTACATGGCAAGTGAAGCACAAGGCCATCCCAAGACTAATAATGATAAAAGCAAAGTATGTAAAATTTCGTACTTAAATGTACAAGGTTTCTGGTCCATGAGTATGATAATCATTATCCAACACATGACAAAAGCATCACATGCAATGTAAAGAAACATTAGCCAGTTATTATAGCTCAAGGGAATTAGGAAAATCATAAGCTCCCAAAGCATACCGCACACGCTTATACTAGAATCCTTCATGAAGCTTGTGAGTTTTGAATCATATGAAGTTCCCTTAATTGCCATGTACTCATTCCACCAATGCATATAGCTGCTTTGTGCCAAGAAAATCTCTGACGAAACTTCATAGTTCTCATGCAACCTATAAACATACTCCTCAAACTTAACCAATTTCATCAAAGTTTCTTCTTTCTCTTTGACAACTTTCAACTCTTGGCATGAAAGGAGAGCCTCTTCAACATGTGCCCAGAAGCAAGAATCAATTGTTAAAATAGCTTCCACATTTTCCTTTTTTGTTTTGTTTATATTCTCTTCCTTCCTTTGGAAAACCTTAGACTCTCGAAAGGAAAGGAAGGCCTCTGCAACGCGTGACCCAAATCTTCTTAATCTCTCTTCATCTTCCCTGACAACCTTAGACCTCCACGTGAAAGGATAGCCTGTTCAACACATGCTACAAAGCAAGAATAATCTTTGTCATTCTTCTCACTTGTTCTATTTTCTTCATTCTCTTTGACAACCTTCAACTATTTGCTTGAGAGAAGAAACTCATCAACACGTGCCCAAATTTTAGAATGTAATGTTAAAATAGGTTCTTCATTCTCCTCATCACTTAGTATGTTTAAGTTCTCTTCCATGTCTGGGACAACCATTGATTGTTGGCGAGAAATCAGAGCCTTTTCAACACATTCTCAAAAGTAAGAATCTTCAACGGTTAAAAAAGCATCCACACTACTTGTTCTGTTTGAATCCCACTTGGCTTTTGTTGTCTCATTCCTAAACCACTCCTCCAACAGTACAAAGTGTTGTGGTCTATTAGTCACGTAGTCTTTTCCACCTTGTCTATAGTATTCAGCAGTAGCTAAAGGTTCAACCATTCTCCCGTAACTCGTCCCAGCACATAGCCAGCTCTTTCGAAAGGCTGCACCTCTTTTTTGAGGCTTAATCTTTGCTTTTTCTACCATCTTTTCCCAGTAGATTACAAGGTTTTTATGGATCACAACAACATCACCATCTGCTAATGCCTTCATGTTCTTGTAGCAGTCATAGTACCCTATTCCCTGGTTTTTAGTTTGCTTCTTGTTCCATTCAAGTTGCGCCATATGTCCCTTCATTTGATTCAATTTCTTGAATGAATCAAATAATACCCTCCTCTGCACTGCATCTCAAACTTCTTTGACTTTCTCATTTCCTTCATACTCCTATTTGAGAAAATTCCAAATGACCTTTGCCAATTTTAAAGTCATAAGTCTAGTAAAATTCCTCAAGAAACAACAAAAAATAGGCAAGATTTTGCCTTCGATTTTTACAATTTTCTTTTCTTATGAAACCTAATTTAATTAAGTGTCGAATTTTTTTAGTAACTGTCCAACTTCATAATCCTCCTCAACAACCTTCTAAAGGTCACTTGCATCAAGAAAAGTCTTCATTCTAATTGTTTATAGGTGAAAATTTTCACCTCAAAAGCTGATAGTGTTATGACTAAGTTATCAAATTATATTTTCAATTCTAAATGTAAGTGTTTAGGTGTTTAGTGAAACTTTTGATCTTGTCAAGTCTCTCAAGAACAAATAAAACTCTGATTACAACGTTAGAACTAAAAAAAATATAGAAAGCTATATAAACTTAAAAGCTAAAACTCACATTTTTATTTATACTAACAACCTTTAAATACAAGAATGTAATAATTTAAAATTGATTATAATTTTACTCATTAATATAAAAATAAATCATAAATAAAATTACCCATAAATAAAAGTGTAACAGTCTTATTAACATCCATAATTTATATAATTAAAATTTATAAAATAAAAATAAATACTAATAATAAATATTAATTCAAATTCTCACTGCAATAAAAATAAAAAAGAGTAACAAAAAGTAAAAGGTTGACAGCTTTAGTGTAATTTTGTCAATGTCAATGCGACCTAAATCTGTGGATAGATTGAGCTTTTTATTATTATAACATGTACTATACTACTTTATACTGTATCAGATAAATATGCTTTTCCAACTTAAATACATTATGACTTATAATTCACTGTAATAATCTATAACTTTCTATTACAACCTATTAAAATAACAATGGTTGAAATTTAAAAGGCATCACAAAGAACATATCATACACAAATTCAAGGCATTTATGAAAGCTACGGTACGTGTCCAGGTGAAGCAATTTTTATTTTTTTTTCTATGCCTAATGATTTTACGGCCTATTAATAAAAGGCATCGATTGATTAATAAAAGCTTGTTTAACATAAATAATTTTGTTTGGTGAAATATAGTTTAAATAAGTAGTTGTTAGACTCCAACTAGCTTTTTTTATTTTTAACTAGTAATTAAAAGTATTTTTCTCATTTTATCTTTAATATTCTTTTATTATTTCTCTTTTATTCGTTGAATTTTTAAAATCTAGTAGCTCTTTATATATATATATATATATATATATATATATATATATATTAACACTCCAAAGTATCCTTTACGAAAAATAATTTATTTAAAATTATAAAAATAGAAACTTTTTCATAAATATTTTTATTTAAAAAATTTGATCAAATCTCAGTATTTTATATACATGACATCATTTAATAAATAAAAATATTTATAATTAAAAATTACTATCTTAATTTTGTAAGGGGATAAAACTTTAAATTGGACCCTTAAAGATGAAAAATCTTTCAATTTGGTCTTTGAAAGAAGAAAATGTTAAAATTAATTTTTAATTATTTGTTATTGTTAGAATCTATTAGTAACGGAGTCAATGATATTTCACGTAAAATATGACAGGTTAATACATCACTAACTATACTAATGGATTATATATGTAAGAAACATTTCTAAACGTTTTTAATTAACAGATGAAAGTAAAAAATGAGATAACTTTTTAGTACCTTGTATTGTAACATTTTTAATTGACATAGCTAAGCACACTGTGTCACATTACACTAAATATATTTTATCAATATCTCTATAATGATTAATTAATATATTATAATAGAATGACTAAAATGAATAAAAGATTACATATTAAAAAAATTATTTTTAAAATATTTTTTGGACTAAATTGAAAGACTATATTTTTTGGAGACTCATTTAAAGTTTTATTCTTTTTAAGGTGATGAATAATTATAAATAAATTTTAAAAAATAAAATATTTATTTTTTAAAAATATACGACACCAGCTTTAAAAAATAATTGTCACATTATCTATTCAACTCAAAATCAAATACATGGTTCATAAAATAAAACCAAATTTTTTAGCATGAAGGGAGAAATCAATTTTGAGAAATCAATTTTTTGGAGAAAGGGAAGACCACTTCGCACACTACAAAGTCATTAAGGCTTTAATTTAAAATTTCGAAGGAGAAAAGAGGAAAGAGTTTGAAGGATAAAAAAGAAAAAGGAGAAATAAAAGTTAATAAAAAATCCATCAAATTAAAAGAACTTACAAAGACAAGCCTAAGAAAATTTTAGATGGTTACTAAACTCTTTCTCTTCTGCTTTAGAAATTCTAAACAAGAACTGTCGTATCTGTCAAACTGTAATAAACAGCTGTGAAGAAAAAATAACAGATAAAAAATAGACTTCCAAATACAGCAAGTTTGCTTATAAATTTACGGAACAGTGATTCTTGGAGGGTTATTACAGTTCAGGGGAATCAGGGAAATGATAAGCACCCAAAGCATACCGCACACGCTTACTAGGATCGTTCATGAAGCTTGTGAGTTCTGAATTATATGAACTTCCCTTAATCGCCTTATACTCATTCCACCACCTCATATAGCTGCTTTGCTTCAAGAAAATATCTGGAGACACTTCATAATTCTGGAGCAACCCATAGACATAATCCTCAAACTCAATCAATTTCATCAGTATTTCTGGCTCTTGGACAACCTTCAACTCTTCGCATGCAAGGAGAGCCTCTTCAACATGTGCCCAAAAGCAAGAATCAGTTGTTAAAATAAGTTCCACATTTATCTTTCTATTTCTCTTCAGGTTCTCTCTGAAAACCATAGATTCTTGGCGGGAAAGGAGGGCCTCGTCAACACGTGCACCAAACCTATTTACATACTTTCCATTCTCTTTGACAACCATTGACCCTTGTCGGGAAAGGAGAGCCACATCAACATGTGCCTCAAAGCATGAATAATCTTCATCAATGTTCTTATTTGTTCCATTTTCATTCTCTTCAACAAGGTTCAACTCTTTGCTTGAAAGAAGAAGGTGGTCAACACGTGCCCAAAAGCTAGGACACATTGTTGGAATAGGTTCTTCATTCTCCGCACAAGATAACATGTCCCAGTTATCTTCCACGTCTTGGGAAACCATGGAGTGTTGGCGAGAAAGCAGGGCCTTTTCAACAAATGCCCAAAATTGAGAATCTTGTATTCTTGAAATAGCTTCTACATTACTTGTTTTGTCTTTTGTTGTCTCACTCCTAAACCACTCCTCCAAGAGTACAAAGTGTTTAGGTCTATTAGTCATATAGTCTTTTCCACCTTGTTTATAGTACTCAGCAATAGTTAGAGGTTCAACCATTCTCCTGTAACTAGTCCCAGCATAGAGCCAGCTCTTACGAAAGGCTGCACCTCCTTTCTGAGGCTTTATATTTGCTTCTTCCACCATATTTTCCCAGTAAATTCTGAGTTGTTTATGGAATGCAACAACATCGCCATCCACTAATGACTCCATGTTCTTGTAGCTGTCATAGTACCCTATTTCCCGCTTTTTGGCGTCCTTCTTGTACCATTCAAGTTGGGCCATAGTTGTCTTCATATTATTCAATTTCTTGGACGGGTTAAATTTAACCCTCCTCTGTATGACGGATTTTTCTTCCAGTCTTTTCATAATTATTTCCAGATTATTGATATCAATGTCGTTTTGTTGCTTCTGCCAAGTCAAATTTAGAGATGAGGAAACGGAAAATGCATTTTATGGTTACCAGATACTAGCTTGATTACAGATAATAAGTAAAAATAAGGCACAACTAGATAATTGTAGTAGTTTTGAGAATAGAATATATGGTCTACCTGCATATGTGGTGTCAATTCTAATGCCCGCAACTGTAAACTGATACTACTTGCAAGCACTGAATCCGATTTTGGAAGAGGCTCGTTTTCATCCACAGTAGTTAGGTCTTTGCAAATTGCTTTATGAGTGAGATTTTCTACTATATTTTCGTACTCAGTAAATAGAAATCCTTGATTCTGACCATAGATTGAGCCCAATGCTATGAGAAGTTCCAAAATAGAATCACGGTTGTCAAAACAAGCAGAATATACATTAGAACACAATAGATATGTTCCAAAAGGCATGTAGGTGCTGGTTTTAGGACTCAATGCTGCAGCTGAAGAGCTATGGTTTGTGATGAAGAGCCTTGGAAGTGGGTCTTTGATTGACACAACGTGTAGAAAGCAAGAATTCCAAATAGGACTACGTGATATGGCTTGTTGCAACTGCTTGTCACCAATGAGGGGTGAACCATAGGTGATGCAGAGTGGGCGATTCTTTACTGACCGCATGCCATCTAATAGTGATATAGTGAAGAGAGAAGCAATTGATCCTCCAAGACCATGTCCGGTAACAATCAATGGAGTGGCACTATTCAACTGCACTAGGATTTTTATATAAGGATATACATGAGAAGAACAATATATGACCCCTACAAGCATGCAGAAGAACTACACTATTTTAAAGACAAACTTAGCAAACTGTTGCTTGCTCTAAAGTTATAATAATTGTATCCCAAACATTGGACTTGAAGGGTATAAAATTATAACTTATAAGACAAAAAGTCCCTATTCTTTTTGTTTCTTTTAAGAGAAAAAAAGGATAAATTTTAAAGCTAAACAATGTGATACCATAGGGTGATTATGAACAATTTACAAAGTCAAACAGCTAAATTCAGAACAGAATTAATAAGCCTGATCAGGACACACATCATCAATCTCTAGATCTGTAGGAAATACAAAGTTTTTCATGCAGGCCAGATAAGGTTTTTTCAGCTTATAATTTTCCAAAGAGAAATCAAAAGAGGCATAAAAAATACAAGGGAAAGGAGGAGATGTACCTCAAAATCAGATTTCTTCCACTCATCAAGCCTATGATGGTTTCTATAGAAGAGTGAAAATGCAGTGCTGTTGATAGAGAAAACTGGGTTGGCTTTGGTACACAGAAAATCAAAGTGAAGGAAATTCTCCTCTCTTAGAGCAGAAGATGGAGTCAAATCCGCTTGAAGATTGAAAGAATCTGATGTTGCCTCAAAGGCTATAACCATAAAATCTGAATCAAAATCCTTGTAAACTTTCCATGATAGTCCTTCTCCCTTGTTTGAAACGATGCCTTCATAACGAGATGAAATAGCATCCCATGATCTGCGAAGAAGACCAGTGCTCATCACAAGAGGTGCAAGCTCCATTCCACTCGAAAATCTGAAACCACAAGCACACATAATCCAACTTAAGTAATACTGTGAGAATCAACATGTCGTGTTAATTACTTCTGTTTTATGAGTTTTAAACTAAAAGCCAACAAGGAAAGAGTCCTTCATTTGTGACATACAGTGCAGATTGAGCCATGGTGCTTGAAAGAGTAAGAAAAAGCCTCAAAACGATGAGCAAATAGTCTTTAAATGGTTGAGGCCATTGCAGAGAAGGGAGGAAGGTTCGTCAACACCCTGTATGAATCTTTTGTTATAAATAGTTAGCTGAAGGACTAATATAAGAAAAAGTTTTTTTAATAATTCTAGTCACATGCTTCCATTCTCTTGTCCTCTCCTATTTCTTTAGTCAAAATTTAATGGCACTGGTAGTATTATTTTTTCATCAGGAGTTAAAATTTTAGTTTGATAATCTGTACAATAAAATTTAACATTAAAAATTAACAAATCAGTATTAAAATTCAGTATACATCAGAGAAATAAAACTTTAACTTTAATTAAAAAATATTATTAAAAGTACTTATAATACTACACTTAAATTTTCTTGATCGTGTGATGGTTGGTAATTTTGTATTGTACTAGGTATGTGACTATAATCCAGTAAAATTTTGTTAATCATGCCGGCGACAAACGAGTTCGATAGAGGAACCAAGTCACTAGATTATAATCCACTAATAAATCTTCCAAAGGCAGCACAAAAAGATAGTGCATGCTTGTTGGCTTATGGTACTTATGCGGAAAACAAATGTAAATACAGAATCAGATTAAAAGTGTAGATTAAGCAGAAGAATTTTAACAGTTGTTGATTAATAATTGTAGAGAGCGTGTGAGCAACATACATAGGAAACTCAATAGAAAGCAAGCGGAAATGCGACTTATTGATTTGGACAAAAATAATTTTATTAATTTTTTCCTAAAATAAAATAAAAAATATTAACTAGTTATGTATAATATCAAAAGAGACTTTTTAAAGTTACACCCCTCATCTTATTTTTAATATGAAATTTTCAAAATATAAATTTACTTACGTTCTATCATTTATTTAATAAAAACATTTATAGATAAAAATACTAAAAAGTTTATCATCTTAATTTTTAAGATGATAAATAATTTTAAATAAATAAGTATAAAAATTATAATTATGGAAATTATATAATTACCAAATTTTAAATTTTAGTTCAATAATTAATTATATTTTTATCTAGTATTTTATATTTATTGGCTAATTCAACAATAAATTTTAATAAATATTTTTAATTTATTCAGCAAACACATTCTTAATCGCTCCAAACAAAGATAGAAGTCTAAAAATAGACTTCCAAGAAGAGAAGCTGTCTTTATTAGATGGTTATTATAACTCAAGGAAATCAAGAAAATCATATGCTCTCGAAGCATATTTCACAAGCTTACTAGGATCTTCCAGGAAGCTTCTCACTTATGAAGGAGTGCCTCTTTAACATGTTCACACAAGTCAGAATCAATTGATAAAATAACTTCCACATCAATATTTCTTTTTCTCTTTAAATTTTCTGTCAACCTTACTCTTGGCGACATAAGAGGGTTTTGCCAACACGTATGAGTGTGAAAACATTAATTCTGCTATCATATTTTTGATATAGTTGGGCTGCACCTGTTCTTACAACAGGAGAGTCATTCACTTTTATAAAGAATAAAAAATTAAAGTTTGATAATATTTGATCTTAAGCTAAGACAACTGCAGAAGAGATTCAGAAGAGTCTTTCAGTTTTGTATCCAATTCAACCATAAATACTATAACTTAAGAAAGAAATAGTCAAAAAGGTTAGAATTAAGGCTGAGGCAGATCAAAGTTTAGAGAGAAAAGACACACAAAAGTTCAAAATGATATTATTAATTGCAATTATTATAAGAAAGGTGACTTTACCGATGCAAAGTTCTAAAAAAAACGAAGAACGATAAAAATAAGAAGCATAATGATGATTAACTTTACCACGTATACAGCGTAATAAATATTTTATCGTGCCTTAGCCGTCTAGGTAAATACGGTCTAGATTATTAACATACAGTTGATTTAAGTAATAAATATTTTATTCCCCTCAACTAAAACAAAATTGATTTAAGAATATTTACCGATTTAGTATTATTTTAATACAGCATTAAAACAAAATGCATCACATATTTGACAAAAAAATAGGCACAACACATATTTTAGCACCACATGAAGTAAAAGGAGTACAATTGTGCCACCCTTCAACTGTGCACCACACTCAGAAGTAACTTATAGCATATAGGATCAGATGTGTGGCGTTTGGTATATGTGCATCACACAGTTAGACAAAATATGATTGTTTGAACAAACAACTCTGATCTCAAACTTTTTTTGCTTTCTCTTTTGTGGGTTCTCCATTGAATCTCTTTTTACATGACAAGTGAATCACAAGGCCTCCCCAAGACTAATAATGATCAAAGCAAAGTATGTAAAATTTTGTACTTAAATGTACAAGGTTTCTGGTCCATGAGTATGATAATCATTATCCAACACATGACAAATGCATCACATGTAATGTAAAGAAACATTAGATAGTTATTATAGCTCAAGGGAATTAGGAAAATCATAAGCTCCCAAAGCATACCGCACACGCTTACTAGGATCCTTCATGAAGCTTGTGAGTTTTGAAACATATGAAGTTCCCTTAATTACCATGTACTCATTCCACCAATGCATATAGCTGCTTTGTGCCAAGAAAATCTCTGATGAAACTTCATAGTTCTCTAGCAACCCATAAACATACTCCTCAAACTTAACCAATTTCATCAAAGTTTCTTCTTTCTCTTTGACAACTTTCAACTCTTGGCATGAAAGGAGAGCCTCTTCAACATGTGCCCAGAAGCAAGAATCAATTGTTAAAATAGCTTCCACATTTTTCTTTCTTGTTTTGTTTATATTCTCTTCCTTCCTTTGGAAAACCTTGGACTCTCGAAAGGAAAGGAAAGCCTCTCCAACGCGTGACCCAAATCTTCTTAAACTCTCTTCATCTTCCCTGACAACCTTTGACCCTCCTCGTGAAAGGATAGCCTCTTCAACACATGCTACAAAGCAAGAATAATCTTTGTCATTCTTCTCACTTGTTCTATTCTCTTCATCCTCGTTGACAACCTTCAACTCTTTGCTTGAGAGAAGAAACTCATCAACCCGTGCCCAAATTTTAGAATGTAATGTTAAAATAGGTTCTTCATTCTCCTCATCACTTAGTATGTTTAAGTTCTCTTCCATGTCTGGGACAACCATTGACTGTTGGCGAGAAATTAGAGCCTTTTCAACACATTCCCAAAAGTGCGAATCTTCAACTGTGAAAAAAGTATCCACACTACTTGTTCTGTTTGAATTCCACTTGACTTTTGTTGTCTCATTCTTAAACCACTCCTCCAACAGTACAAAGTGTTGTGGTCTATTAATCACGTAGTCTTTTCCACCTTGTCTATAGTATTCAGCAATAGTTAAAGGTTCAACCATTCTCCTGTAACTAGTCCCAGCATAGAGCCAGCTCTTTCGAAAGGCTGCACCTCCTTTTTGAGGCTTAATCTTTGCTTTTTCTACCATCTTTTCCCAGTAGATTACAAGGTTTTTATGGATCACAACAACATCACCATCTGCTAATGCCTTCATGTTCTTGTAGCTGTCATAGTACCCTATTCCCTGGTTTTTAGTTTGCTTCTTGTACCATTCAAGTTGCGCCATATGTCCCTTCATTTGATTCAATTTCTTGAATGAATCAAATAATACCCTCCTCTGCATGATGGATTTTTCTTCCAATCTTTTCATCTTTATTTCCAGATTGTTGATATCAATGTTCTGTTGTTGCTTCTGCCAAGTCAATTTTAGAAATGAGGTCAGAGAAAAGGACAAAACGTAGATATAGTATCATAAGTGCTTTTGGTATTGTTCTCCAATCAATATTGGAGTTTCACCTCGGTAATTTACACAATAAAGGTCAGCATTAAAAGTCGAGACACATTATTAAGGTAAAACTCTAAATCTGATTGGAAAACAACACCAAAAGCATGAATAGCATTGCACCTAAGGTTGGCAAATTTGGATTTACAATTACCAAAATACTAGTCTGATAGATTAGCCAAAATGGGCCTTGAAAAGATGGTCCCTTTTTTCAGTTTTGAAGATACCTCTCCTTTCTTGTACCCCTTCCTAGGCATGGATATTTTTGGCTCTAGGTTTCCTATGAGAACTCTGTGATCTCTGTTTGTTTTCTGGGCTTTTAGCCCCTTTGAATAGCAAAAAAAAAATACTAGTCTGATTACACAAAATGAATGAGCGTAAAGAAAGCTCGATTAGATAATTCTAGTTGTTCAAGAAATAGGTGATATTAACCCACCTGCATATTTGGTGTCAATCCTAACGCCCGCAACTGTGAATTGATACTAACTGCAAGTATTGAATCTGGACGAGTCATGTTTTCAACCTGAATAGTAAAGTCCTTGCAAAGTGCTTTATGATTGAGATTTTCCAATATTTTCCTGTAATCAGCAGATTGAAATCCTTGGTTCTGAACATGGATTGAACTGAATGCTTTGAGAAGTTCCAAGACAGAATCAGGGTTCTCAAAACAAGTGCAATTTTCATCAGAACACAAAAGAAATGTTCCAACAGGATTGTAAGCACTGGTTTGAGGAGTAGATGCAGAAGCTGAAGAACTATGGTTTGTAATGAAGAGCCTTGGAAGTGGATCTTTGAGTGACACAACGTGTAGAAAGCAAGAATTCCAATTAGAACTACGTGATATGGCTTGTTGCAATTTCTTGTCACCAATAAGGGGTGAACCATAGGTGATGCAGAGTGGGCGATTCTTTGCTGAACCAATTCCACCTAAAAGTGATATAGTAAAGAGAGAAGCAACAGATCCTCCAAGACCATGTCCAGTAATAATCAATGGAGTAGAACCTTTAATCTGAATTCAGATTGTTACATTAGGATTTACTGGAGTGGAGAAAAACAATATATGCCTAAAAACTTTCAAGGGATCTACACTAATTTCAAGTCAAAATTTAGTAAACTATTGCTATAAGAAAATTATCCCTATAATCCCAAACACCTTCATGTTCGCTCGTAATACTGATAACCCTTAAGCTTAAAGCTTAGAATATATAAATATGCATATTTCAAATCTTCTACATTTACCCTCCTAAAGACTTTTCATGTGTGACTCCAAGACAGCAAACTCTAATCCATATTATATTTTCAACTATGAATTTCACTTGTCACCATTTTTCCAATGTCATTACTTTTGGCTATGGAGCTAGATTTGCAAAAGAATAGTAATATGCCGACATTATTAAAGCTAAGCAATGTAAGGATTAGCAAAAATCTAGACATCATCAATTTCAAGATTTTCACGGTGCAGGCAAGATAAGGATTTTTCAGCCTGAAATTTTCAAATAGAAATCAGAAGAGGCTCAAAACAAAGACAAGGGAAAGGAGAAGATGAACCTCAGATTTCTTCCACTCAAAGAGCTCCTGAAGGTTCTTATAGAAGAGTAAAAATGCAGTGCTGTTAACACAGAAAATTGGATTGGTTTTAGAACACAGAAAGTCAAACTGATGGAAATTCATCTCTTTGAGAGCAGAAGATGGAACCACTTCCACTTGAAGATTAGAAAAATCTGGTCTTGCCTCAAACGCCATAATAGTCAAATCCGAATCTATTTCTTTATAAACTTTCCATGATAGTCCCTCTCCCATGTTTGTAATGATGCCCTCATAACGAGACATGATAACATCCAATGATTTGTGAAGAAGACCAGAGCTTATGACAAAGGGTGCAATCTCAATTCCACAGCTGAATCTGCCACTGCAAGGACACAAAATCCAACATAATCAATACAATGAAACACAACAGTTTATGGTACTTTGTTTTGTGATTTTTAAGGTAAGGAGTAATGTTTCGGTTATCACATACAGTGCAGATTGTGCCATGGTGCACTTGAACTAGAAACTTGTGATGCAGTTAGTATTGACAAATTGATGGTTGAGGAGAAGTAGCAGCATAAAGTCTCACTGAATGGTTGATAATAAGGTAAAGTCACACCCTGTGAACAGTACCCGTGTTTTCCTAGGGTTAATCAAATAAGTGTCAGAAATATAATGATATAAAATTATAATACTACCTAAGATTTGAAAATTTATTAAACAATAATATTATAGTATTGACATGATATAAAATTAGAAATAGAAATTTATTATGTTGCAAAACTGATCATTTATAATAAATATTATTAAAAAATGTAACATTATATATAAAAAAAAACTCACAACATTAAGAATGGATAATTAAAAAATAGATAAAATTGAAATCCGAAAAAATAATATAATAATGGTACAAAATAATATTAATGAAGGAATAGTGGAAAAATCACAAATAACGAAAACATATTCTATCAGTAAAAAGAAATTGGATAACATTATTCTTATATATAATTAAAAATTATCATAATTTAATATTCTAAAAAAAATTAAATGGATAATAAAACAAAGTTTTTAAAAACAATAATAAAATTTAATTTGGATACAAAATATTTTTTATGAAACTAAAAACATTGTAACTATATTTTTATTTAAAATAATGATAAATATTTTGTAAAATGATAAACATTGTAACTATATTTAAATTGTTACGATTTGGATAATACTAAATGTTCTTATTTTCTGATTTTTTTTCATTAATAGAAATATTTAAGCACTATTTTGTAATACATAAATGTTATTTTAATTATTTTTCTTAAAACAATTTATTGCTATTATTGTTAATTCATTACTGATATTGTATGATTCTTATTTTTGTTAAAATTTATTTAGCATTCTTATTATATTGTTATTATCCTATAAAATTTATTAAAAATTACTGTGTAATAATTATAATTATTATTATTATTATTATTATTTTATAATACTATGATTTATTTTTTCTTTCAATAGTAATTTTAAATTTCTATATTTTTAAATAAAGTAAACACGAAACTAAATCACACGATTTTAAGCAATATGGAAAAGAAGAATCAAGTAAACTCTCAAGAAAAACAGTGGTGATTATGAATTTTAAAACAAAGTATTCATACTCTTGCATTACTTCCACCCTTTTTTCATCTTTTCTTTGTTTACTTTCTCTCTCCCTTATTAGAACATCTCTCACCATACAATACTCATTTTCCATTGTTAAATTAATTTTACGATGTTATAAAGTGTAAGAAATATAACATTTAAAACATAAAATTTTTTAATGACATCATCTGCTGAGTGGTCCATCCTTCACACATAACCTTCAAATTATGTTAATATTACACACAACTTAAAATTCCAAGAATGAGAGATTGAAGGTTTGCAAGGGAAACACAACTCTAAAAACTTCCAATATCAGAACACAAGAGAAAATCCAGGATCTCAACTTCATTCAACAAAGGAAATACAAAGAAGGTTGAAAGGTGCAGAATGAAATGAAATCATAATTCATTATTATACACTGCTGAACCACGCAAACATACTTCAGCGGAAGTCATAAGTTCCCTCAGTATATTGATCAAAATTATTAGGATTGCTCATGAAGCTTGCTAGTGCTGGAATACCTGTAGTTCCCCTAATTGTCTTATACCGATTCCACCAAGCCATGTAGCTGCTATCCTTCAGGAAAATCTCCGGTGACACTTCATATTTCTTAAGTGACTCATAAACATACTCCTCGAATTGAAGCAACTTCCTAGTTGCCTCATCCTTCTCTGCCAAACTAGATAGTGCAAACTCCAACTGTTGGCAAGAAAGGAGAGCCTCTTCAACATGTGCCCAAAAGCAAGAATCAATGGTCAAAATTAGTTCCACATTCTTTTTGCTTATACTATTTGGATCACTTGGGGGCGTTCTCGCTTCATTCACCCACTCCTCCAACACTTTATAATGTCTAGATCTTCCGTTTTTCACGTAGTCTTTGCCGCCCTTCCCATAGTACTCGGCAATATCTAGGGGTTCAACCATTCTTCTGTAATTAGTCCCACCATAGAGCCAGCGAGTACGAAAAGCTGCACCTTCCGTCTGAGGTTTCATTTCTACTTCTTCAACCATATCATTCCAGTAGTTTGTGAGGTTTTTCTGGAACTTAACAGCATCTTGATCACTTGTTAAGTACATCTTCTTGTAGCTGTCATAGTACCCTATATGTCGATTTTTAGAATCCTTCTTGTACCATTCAAGTTGGGCCATGTCTATCTTCATTACATTCAATTTCTTGGATGGATCAAATTTTCCACCCTTTTGGAAATTGAATTTTCTTTCCTGTGCTACGATCTTTGTTACCAAATCATTGATCTGTAGCTGCTGCTGCCGCCAAATCAATTTTAATGAGATTAGCAAAAATTGCATTTACTTAATAATCTATAATTAGACATCAAAAGTCAAATAAGGTTAACTTAGAATACAAGTTTTTTAGAAACAAGAGATATTCAGCAACCTGCATATGTTGTATCAATCCTAGCGCCAACAACTGCACACTGATACATGCTTGCAGTGAATTAGAACGAGGCAAGTCTTGCAGCTGTGCAGTAAAGTCCTTGCAAATTGCTTTACGATAGAGACCTTCCACTATGTTTCCATAATCTATGCGCCGAAGTCCTTGACTTTGATCATGCATTGAGCTCAAGAGAACTTCCAAAATAGAGTCAGGATTCTCAAAACAAGTAGAATTATTGTCGGAACAGAAGAGAAATGTTCCAAAAGGCATGTAATCACTGGTGCAAGGTCTCAATTTTTTTGGAAGTGGATCTTTGCAAGAGACCATGTGTAGAAAGCAAGAATTCCATGTCGAATTACGGGATACAGCTGCTAGCAAATTTTCATCACCAATAAGGGGAGAACCAAAGGTGATGCAGAGAAGGCGTTTCTTTCCCGAACCAATGCTATCTAATAGTGATAAAGTGAAGATTGCAGCAATTGTTCCTCCAAGAGCATGTCCAGTAACAATCACTTGAGATTTGCTATTAATCTGCATTAGAATTGTTATAACAATATATGTCCAGACACATGTAGAAGATCTACATCATTCTTATGACAAAAATTTAAGATCAATGGAAAATTATCCCCAAAATTTTATTCCAAACATCCTTAAGTATGCATGTACTATTCCCTAAACATCTATTGTAAAGAAGTTAAGTACAAAGAGTATTAGAAGTACAAGTTGTTGAAGAAACTGAGTGAAGAAATGCATATTATAAGGTCACTTATGTGTAATACTTTTCATCTGTAAGACTTTGGGAAGTCATTCACGTCATCCATTCAATCATTTGTTTTACAGACTAAATTACTTTGCAGATTAAATTAGCAAAGTACCAATCCATGCTCAATTATCAATCTGACTTCTATCTCTTTGTCAAGGTCGTTGCTTATAGATGAAGAACTAGATTTGTTTGATAGAATAATATCACTGCACCAGGAGCAATGCTATAGACACACAAAATAAAGAAACACCAATGGACTAGTTTGTTTCCTGATTTGGAAAACTATTTCCTATTTAAAAAAAAAAAAAAAGTTGTTCTATAAGAGTGATTTTTTAAAATTGTTTTCTAAATCAATATCTCTTTTTTCAGCTTATAATAATAATATTTAAAAACCAAAACATATCTTATAAGGCTGATGTTTTTTCTTCTGCCGCTTCATCTTCTTCCTCAATCACCCCATTCTAAAAATTAATTTTTGAAATTTGTTCTTAAAATAGTTTTTAATAATCAAAAGACAAAAAGAACACAATCAAATCAAACACACCTAAAAAATCCACCCATGAATCTCTACATTTACATCAGGGAAACACAGTTTTTCATGCATATAAAATATGCAACATAGTATCCAAATTAATCTAAGGAATTTTCAGCTTGCAATTTTTCAAAAAGCATAGAACTTTCATACCTGGGACTTCAACTGATCAAGCCCCTGAAGATTCTCATAGAATAGTGAAACCACAGAGGCATTAACAGAGAAATCTGGAATTTTCTTAGTACACAAAAACTCAAATTGAAGGCAACCTTTCTTCCTAAGATCAGAAGATGAAACCCTATTCGATTCAAGGTTAAAATCCTCCTTGACCTCAAACGCTACAACGGTCAAACCAGAACCCGGTTCTTCATAAACCTTCCAGAACATTCCATTTCCAACGCATGAAGTGATTCCTTGGTAACGAGAATCTATAACATCCCATGTTCTACAAAGAACACCAGAGCTTGTCACAAAGGTTGCAAGCTCCATTCCATTGCTAAATCTGCAAACACAAAGTACAACGTTATTTTACTTTTATAAATTTTCATATACAAAATCAAAGAAAATAATAATAATAATTAATCACATACGATTGGGACTGAGTCATGGTGGTTGAGTTGAGATTTGAGAACAAATGCTTGAGATGATGAACTCTGTGCGTTTATTTAATGGTGAATTTAAAGTCTCTGATGGGTTTATGATTAGGAAATTCAGTGGAAAGACATAGGGAAGAGTAGAATCCATTGCAAAGCTTCGAATAACAAGTCAACACACGGGTCAACATTATTTTATACAATAACCTCCTTGTTTAAGTCAAGTTAAAAAGATAAAACAAATTAATCCGTACAAAATTATACGTAATAAAAATTAATAAATAATACATTTTATGAAAATTATAATATTTATTAGTGTCAATATATTAGCTATATTAAAAAAATTTAATAAAAATTTATTATGTGTCATTTCAGACAAAAAAATAATAATTTATATTTTGTATGATTTTTTCCTGAACTTATTCAACTCTTTTTCATATTATATAAATATAATTTATTTATCAATTATATTTTATTTTATTTTTTAAATTTTCATTCTCTATTTAAATATACGGAATTTATGATAAAATTGATAAATGAAATTATTTTAAAAATTAAGAATTTAGCAAAAAATAATAAGTTTAACAATTCTTTATAATCAATAAATTTTATTGATATAATTATTAAATCATATAATATTAATATATTAATTATGTGTATAAAATTTTAAATATAAATATAAAATTTTATAATTAACATCTAATTGTTTTTTAATATATATATATATATATATATATATATATATATATATACATATATTAAATGTTAAAATAAAATTATTAAATAAAAATAAAATTATTAAATAAAATGTTAATTATTTTTTAATATGTCCTCGTTTGAGAGAGATGCTCATATTGTAAGACCAGTGGGATGTAAAGTCTCCTTGTACAAGTCAAGTCACGCTGAAAAGAATAAAAATTAATTCTACTTTAATTATTTTTAATTTTGTTTTTAAAAATTTGTAAGAAAATATGCACAGTAAAATTTTAATAATAAATTTTTAATTAAAAATATAATGTTTAATAATATTAATATATTACAAAAATAAAATATTTTTCAAAAATATTGTAAAAAATAAATCCTTATGGGCGAAACACAATTAACCATCGTAAACGCGTTGGGGAATTTGATGTTGTTGTCGCAACGCAAGTTGACAAGCGATGTAACCAAAGCGAAACGGCGTCGTAGAAATTCAGCATCAGCGAGAATTCCAAGTATTTATTACAAGTAATATTCAATTGGGCCATAAGCTAATGGTTTATTGGTGCCATAATGACTATATTTAGCTTAGTTAACACCCCTTATAATTTATTTTAATTATTAATTTGAAGTTGACGATATCATTATTATATTCTTATTAATTTGTTATTATTTTAATCTAATCACCAAAATATATAATTATAAATCACGATTAGTTTAATATTGATGTTGGGCCTCCTAAGATCATTTCAACCCATTGCAAGTGTGAAAACATTAATATTAGATGCCACAAGTCCTTTTTCTAGTTTTTCATTTTCATACTCTTCTTTCCACCAATACTATATATCTTTTTTATTTTAAAAATATTAATTTATTATTTCATTTATTTTTTATTAACATTTTCATTCATCTGTGCATTAATTTATTGCATTGCTAACTTTTTTTTCTTTTATTTTAGAATTTTATAGTTTCTAATAATTAAATTCATATCTAGTAAATTTTAAATACAATTTTAATAATTTAATATTTTTAAAAATAAGTTATGATATCTTCATTAAGTATACGTGTAACATAAATAAAAAAAAATTAACATCATTAATAATCCAGTATAAATGATTAATTGTCTATATATTATTAAAGATCTTTCATTAGAAGTATCATGTGATATTTTTAATTTTTAAAATTTTTGTATGAGTTTATTAACATTTAAAATTTCTAACTTTTAAACTTTTTATATTTATGTTTATTTTAATAATAAAATTAATATAAAGTCAACTTTTAGATACTAAACAAAGAATTTAATGTTTCTTTCATTAAATAAATTTTAATAATTTTTTAATATATAGTTAACATTAATGAAAAAATTATTTGATGTTATTAAAATACAATATAAATAATTAGTAATATAAAAAAATAGATATATTACAACAAAATTTAATTAAAATGCAATCAGAGTGTAAGACCACATTATAGGAAGAATTGTTAACTTTTATAATAAATAATTTAAAAGTATTTATTATGTATTTGAATTCATTAACAATAAAATATTGACATTAACAATACATTAAAATTAAATAATAAATCCGTATAAGTACGATTACACAATCTGCTTTTTATTATTCGTATATATATAGTGAAAAATTCGTATAAATGTTGATTTTCTATGCAGATTATGAGTTTCAATTAGGAACGGTAATTCATCTTTTTTAGAAAATGGGGATCGGTAATTAAATTTAGATCTAATTAATATCTAAAAGAAATATTCATGATAAAGAAGAAACACAAGTTTTGTAAAATCACTGAATTTTACTGTATGAGAGATACTTATACATAACCTTTAATTTTATTTCAATTTAGAACTTATTTTCATGACATACGACAAAGTTAAAATACCGAAAAATATCTTTTAATGGATTATAAATAAATTTTTATCTTTAATTCAAAATTTTAACACATTAAAAAAGTTCTTCTCAATATTTTAGCCCATAGTATGTTGCAATACTTTGAAAATATAAATAAATATTTAGTTTCATGAGGGTCAATCCCTTTTTTTAAATTCCCTAACTATATAGTTAGATCACACTTTAAATTGTAAGCTAACACTAACATAATCTCTTCGAGCTATCACACCCACTCTATGAATGTACACAAAAGACAACATTGTGGTTAAATATCAAATTATATTAACTTTTTATGATTTATAAGTATAAAGTTATTAATTATTTTCCAAAGTAACACAATTAAACTGTCATATTTAACATTTATAAAAACAAACTTAATAACTAATAAATCAGATTATATAATTGTATTTTCATTTTTTTTTTTACTGAAATCACTTTATTTGCTCAAATATTTATTTTTGTATCTACTTATCAGAAGTATATATATATAAAAAAATAAAAAATAAAAAAAATTTATACTTAATTTAAATATTTTATTTAATTTAAATTTAATAAATTATAATTTATTATTTTATTAACTATTAAATTTAAATTAAATAAAAAAATTTAAATTTACGCGTGTATAAAAAGATTCTTCTTCAGTATATATATATATTAAACCGGCAATGCAATCATTCGAGATTTCGTAACATTTAAACTACTCAGTACAGTAGACAGTAGGGACCCAGGTACCACAAACTCAAACAGCTAATAAGAACAACCTCCAAAACAACGATTCCTTAAATAGCTTAAGTCGCTTGCTTTTGAAATTCAGTGCTTTATAATGTATAGCATTGAGTTTTGTTCTATTAGTACAGTTAATCAAAGCATTCTGAGAGTGGTAGATGGAGAGATTCAATGTTGCGACCCCATGGTTGAATCTAAGCAAACAAAAGGACAAGTCAAGCATATCGCACCCAATTCAATGGATCTCAAATATAAGTGCCCAAAACGGAATCAAATTAAGCCATGTCATGTTCATATATTAATTGTAGTCCTGAATTCGTACACCAAATACTTATATTAATCACATGAATATAAATTTCTTCGTGGACCACATCGATCCCATATATAGACAACACAGACAGTGTTGAACTAATTGATTAACACCATAACTTGTATAACTTATGCTGATTATAACTCAGTTATTACATACACTAACAATTCAAACCACATAATCATTCAAACTTGGATTACTTAAAAGCTTAATAATTAGGTACTGGATAAGCATATCTATGGGCACTTGTTTTTGTTCCCGTGAGTCAACATATCAGTGTAGCACTTGCCACATTTTTCCCGGTTACCATAAGTTCCAGGAGGTACACATTTGCAACGATCACAGCATGTCATGCATGCTCTCATGCACAATCTCTTCCTTGAGTGTAATTGGCATCTATAATCACAGAGTGGAATGCAATCTGCTCACAAAAATTAAAGGGAAAAGAGAGAGAGCAAAATATTGTTAATTCATCTGATCTCACTAACATTTTAAAGTAAGCACAAATGAATACAATTAATTCGGATTAACATTAGAGTAATGATTCTCTCAGATGTATGCAAAAAGAAAAAGGGAAAAAAGAACGTAGAGATTAAAAAATTTGCATAATCTAATATAATATTTTTACTTTTGAAATATTTCCTCTTACCTGTCAGCCACTTCAATTATTCAATATGCATATTTTCTCTTTTAAAAAAATATTTTTAAAACCATTAAGCAAAGCATTTTAAAACACGTAAGTTAAAAGTATTTTTAAAATCTCTATATAAAAAAAAAGTAAAAATAAAACATAATAAATAATATGTAATGTGACATAAAATGGTTTGTCAACTTTTAGCTATGCAAGTCCTAAAACTCTTTCACTTATTTTTTATCTCCATTAAACAAAAAACTATATAAATTCATTATAAAAAATTCATTTCTCTATAAAAATTATGTAAAAGATTTAGATATATTATTTAAACATATGAAAATCAATACTATCCATACATATTGACATTGTATACACAAATCTCAAGAACACTTTTTAAAACAAAAAATTAACACCAAAAAGATGTCTCACTTTCCCTGTACAAGAAACACTTTCTATCAAAGACAAGAATGTGGTACCCACTTACCCTTCTTTGATTTCACTACAGGAGTTGGTGGAGAGGGAGTAACAGGAGGGTACACCACAGGGGGTGTAGGAGATGGTGGTTTCACTACTGGTGGTGTTGGACTTGGTGGCTTCACCACTGGGGGATAAGAAGGAGGTGCCTTCACTGGTGGGGTTGGTGTTGGTGGCTTCACCACTGGTGGATAAGAAGGTGGTGTCTTCACTGGTGGGGTTGGTGTTGGTGGCTTCACCACTGGTGGATAGGGAGAAGGAGGTGTCTTCACTGGTGGTGTTGGTGGCTTCACTACTGGGGGATAAGGAGGAGGTACCTTCAGAGGGGGTGTTGGACTTGGTGGCTTCACTATTGGAGGATAAGATGGTGATTTCACTAGGGGCGGTGGTGCCTTCACTGGTGGTGCTGGGACTTGAGGACTTGCATAGTTCACCTGTATGTAAGAAATCCCATATTTTTCTACCTAGATTAGTCATAATATATTATTAATATATATATATATATATATATATATGACAACAATTAAAAAATGGAACCTTTTAACAAGGTTGTTAAGATATGTCAAAATGGAATCACACGAAGATTGAAAGCAAAATTTTGTATTGTTAACATACCACTATCTTGAGATCTTCATCATCCGAAAGAACCTGCACTTAATTAAGTTTAAATTAGAAGACCCTTTTTGGTATGGTGTGCAAATGATGAGTGAGTGAAGAGTATAATAAAATGTATGTATGTATACCTTAGTGGCGACCACTAGAAAAATGGCCAGAAGAAGAATGGATTTGGAAGACATTGGTGAAGGAGGGGCCAGAAAGGTTGGAAGAGGAATCTAGTGAATGTTAATTGAAGCATAGAGTAGACGTTGTATTATATAGAGGTCAAGGGTAGGGAGAGATATTAGAGAAAAAGTTGTGTACAGTCCCAGAAGAAAGCGTTTGGGTCATAGGCTGGTGAATTAATGCCTGGCTGTCACCTAATTAAACAGCTTCTACCCACGTGCCCCTAACATTGTGTCTACTAAACTATCATATCTTATTTCGAGTTCTCTTATAAGAGTGTGTGTTGCCACTAATCTATGTAGCTCAACACAAGGCCTGTCTCTCAGAATTTCATATAATAATATATTGTTCATGTCTAGATTCATGACCTATGTTCTCACCAAGTCTCAGTTTGATTAATCCGCCACTGAAGGCAATGTCATTTTTTATGGATTGCATATATTTGCTATGAGAAGATGAAAACAAGGGAGAAGCAAACAAAATAGAAGAAAATGAGGAGATGAGATTTTCATATAGCAAATTTTCTCGTTTCATTAGTGTTAAACGTGCGTAAAAAGTTTATTCTTATCATATAAAAAGTTAAATCATATCTTAAGCTCATGTATTAATTTCTTTAGTTAAGGCTACAACTTCTTTAATAGTGTATAAATTGATTACAAAATATTTAAATAAAAATTTATATAAATTAAAATAAGTGTTTGATACTGTACTCGTAAATTAAAAAAGTATTAAATATTTTTTTAGATTATATTAAAATATTAAAAAATATTTGTCTTTTTTAAATATATCACTAACTCTATTATTAAAATTAATAATTATAATTATTTTATATACAACAACATATAATACTCTTTTTTTTGTAGAACACTATAAAATTTACCATTAAAATAACTTTTAGTCAGAAGGAGGAGGCAGAATAAAACTACAGAAAAAAAGGGTGTATGAAAATCATAACAAATGAACAAAGTTACAGGAAAATATTTATGAAATGGGTAGCTAGTTGATGAAAGTCCCTAAGTAACAGGATATAGTGAGATGAGTTACCTGATGTGGACACAGCTAATAAGATAGAGGGATATGATATGACTAAAAAGGGGTACATTAGGGCCAAATGGGGTTGTCACCGTACTATTCATTTAACTCTCTCTCTCTTTCTCTCCTTTTTAAGTCAACTTTGTAAAGAGGAAAACAGCTACCTTCACAGGCACAATTATCACCTCCAACTCCAAGCAGGGGCTACCCAAAACTTGGAAACCGTGCCCGTTTTGTATATTTGTGTTTCCTCTGTCTGTCATTGAGGAATATGTCGGCCATCAAAATTCAATAAATATATAATTTCATTTTACTATATAATATTTTTAAATTTAATGTATAAAAAATTACCTAAATCAATAATAATTGCTAAAATAAAATGTGAATTTAAATTGAACAACATACTGTAAACTTATTACGGACAAGTTGGTGACTTGAAGTAGAAGACACGTTAAATAACAATTGTCATTATTAATATACAATGTGGGTTTCATTATTATATGTATAACCTCTAAAATTTTTGTTGGTACATTGGAACACAAAGTAACTATTTATTTTCATGTAAATGGTTTGCTTTTCACCAATTCTAATGCGTGTCATCACAGTTGACACTTTTTAAGGTATGTGTGTGTAATCACATTATATTATAGTTCCTTGGTTGCACAATCGGAATTGTTGTATTGACAACAATTTTCAGCCACCTTATATGAACATCTAACGTTTTCATATTCAATTGATATGTGAAAAGATAAAAGTATGAAGAAATATATAAAAGGTTTAAATATTTTTTTTATTTCTTTAAACGATTTTTTATTTTAGTCTTTATTTTAATAAAATTTTGTTTTTAATCACTGATGCCGATCAGATTCATTAAAATATTGTCACTTGTCTTCTTTTAATCTAAGCATATCAACATTAAGAATTAAAAAAATATAAATTAAAATTTATTAAAATATGAGGATAAAAATATATTTAAACTAAAATAAAAAGATATAATTTGAATGTTTGAAAAAATAGTTTTCAAATAATAGAACATATGGAGATAAGTAACACAAAAGCCACGAGTTCTATGCGAACCATATGGAATGGGCCGGAAAGTCTAAAAAGTAACGCGCATAGTCTGACGTATGAATATGGTTGTTTAGATAAATAAAAAAAGGTAAATAATAATAATAATAATAATACCTTGTTGTTAAATTGTTGACTTAAGCTTTGTTTGGGAGTTAAGTTTAAGACAGGAGGAAAGAGATTAAAAGGAGTTTAATTTTATTTAAAAGTTACTTAATTAGGAGGAGAAAGTTTTAAAAAAAATTTTAAATCTTCTAAAAGCTTATTTTTTTGAGTTTCTATATTTTAGAGTTTTTTTTTCTCACTCTTTCCTACTATTTTACAAATATAATTTTTTTAAATTTTTTTTAATATTAGTTTTTCAAGTGATAATTTTTTAAAAAAAATTAAAAATAAAAATATTAATTTTAAAATTATTTATATAATTAAACTTCCTATCACCCTCTCTTCTCAATATTAAACATCCAAATAAGTGAGGAGTTTAACCTCCTTTTTCCTTCCTCCCTTTTATTTCCTTCTCCCTTCAAACATTTTTCCTTCCTCTCTCTCCAAACTCTCAAACAAAGCCTTAACTTCTTAATCGCAACATATTAAGTTTCATGATACAAAACTAACGCTGTGTTTAGACAAGAAAAAAAATAAAATAGAATTATAATAAAAAAATATTCAAATAGATAATAATATGAAATTTTTTTACAAATATATTTATTTAAATAGTAATAAATAAATAAATTATATATGAAATTTTTTTATAATAATAAAAATTATTTTAATAAAAAATTAAATATTTTATATAATATTTTAATACTTGTTTATATTTTTATATTATTAACAATAAAATAAACTAAAAAAAAAAACAAAGCTCGCATTATTTAATACATATTATAGACATGAAAGAAAAATTATGAGTCTCATTCTCATTTTTCTTTCTTTTCACTAAAATTCAAAACTATCAGACAAAAGAAAAAATTATATTTTTATATTTTAAAAAAATATATATTTTTCACAAAATGATCACATCTCATCAAAATAAAAGGTAAAAGGCTTATTATATGTGTGGGTTTTGGATGACCTGTGATATGCAGGCAAGAGATCTTCCATTCACCACATACAAGTTTTTTTAAAAGATAAAATTATTTAAGTCAAATTAAGTTATCAAAATTCTCATATTTAAGACAACTTAATATATTAGAACTCAAATTGAAGAAGATAAGTTAAGAATGTAAAACAAGTCAGTTTATCCACTGTTGAGTCTCTTTTGAAAAGAAAGAGAAGTTGGTAAATGAAATTAAAGTCAAACAAAAATACCTTGATATGTATGCATCACTAGATATCGTGGTTGTGAACATGTTACTTGATATTATAAACTAAGGTGTAATATCACCTAACTTTCAAGGTAGAACATGTGATATCATGTGCAATGTCGAAGAAGGAGAATGGTCTGACATGTCTTTGCAATTAGATTTAGGGATGATGACAGTAAAATTGACCCATTTCCTCTCAGATATTTGAATTTTTTTTTCAACCAGATCTCAGTGATGGACTTGTTAATCAATTGCAACTTGAAAAGGAAAAAAAACAAGAATGTAACTGGAACCATACTTCTTTATTGCAATGCACTATTTCCATTGTATCAGAAGAAGATTTAGTTATTTAATCACACACTAGTACACTGCTATATATAGAACTAATTAGTAGTTTGACTGAGTTTTGCTATAAAGTTTGAAGTTTTTCACTAATATTTGAAACAATACATTTCAACTTAGCCCCCATTATCGAATACAAATGCCTCGTTGGCAGCATTGGTTGGCATCAATGTTACCATAGGATTCCTAAGGTTGTTATTATTATTATTATTAAGAGCAGTACATCTTTGTATTCAATAACACAACACATGTCCACAAAATGAAGTTTATTTATTTATTTTTTGTGTAGGTCCTTCTTAAAAGACCCATTGCCAATCTAGCTAGCAAGACCATTCCATGACGGGACAGGGCAACCACATTACCAAATCCTCACTTTATTGTTTGGACCATTGTTCCCTATGATATATATAGTTATCATACTGTTTTAAAATTTATTATTATTATTATTATTATTATTATTATTATTATTATGCTTTAGCAAACGAATATTTACTCTAGATGAAGTGGCCTTCCACCATCTTGATCATGCCGGTTAAGGCCACTAAGCAATACAATAACTTCCATTCATTTTTATAGTAGCATGTAAATCATGGTTAGAAAATAAGTTTCAATTGATAAAATTAGATGTTAAATTAATTATTTAAACAGATAGTTTAAAGATTTTTATCAAATTAATCATTTATAAAATTTATAAAAACAAAATTAACATATACTTGAATAATATATTTTTAAAATAAGAATAAATATTAAATTTAGATAATATATATACAAATGTTTAAATTTTATGAATTGATATACATTATCATAAAAATAATATAAAATAATTTAATAGTTAAATTGATTTATTTTATATTTTATAAAATATTTTTAAATAATATAAATATTCAAATTTAAATAATGTACCATGACTCAAGCATATACAATATTATTTTTCATTTGATTAAAATGTGTGATGAAATAATAAGAAAGAGTTTGAGTCTAACTATTAGACATATCAGTGTGTTTAAAAATATTTTAAAAAATTATAAATATAAATTTAATATAAAAGTTATAATTAATAGAAGTAAAGATAAATTCAAGAACATTTAAATGTAAATCATACACATGCTTGATATTAAGGTTTGTCTCTTGGATAATCCTTAGTGAGTAATTAATGTCAGTTTTTAACCCTTGTGATTTAAGAGTCAAACATTTATCCAACAACTTCAGTAGTATTTCGTGTCCAAGTGCTAGAGGAATTCGCAATAATCCATTAGTGGAAGAAAGACAGAAGATTAGAAGTTTACGTAGAAAAAGATTGACCAATAAATATATATTTTAGTTTTTCAAATTATAAATATCAATCATTTTAAGCTTTAATTTTATAAAAATGATAATAAAAATAAAAATTAATATCCTTTAAAAAATAAAGAATTAAAATAATTTTTTCAAATTAAAAACTAAAATAATCAACGCTTATATTAATATATTTACTCTTGGATGGACTCTAACAAGTGGAGTTCATTAAAATGCTTAAGAATTTGTCTCTGCGACAAACACTGGCACAAAGCATATATTTTAAGTCACACTTAGGATACTGTGGTTTGTGGTTGGTGTACTTGCATTTCTTCAGTGTCACAGACTTTCCTACACACTGCATATTAAGCATGCCACAGTTACAATATTCTGACCAATACACATAATATGACCTAAACAGATATCGAATCACATCTACTACTTAAAAAATTATAATAATGTCTGAAAAGTCACATGAAAAATACAAGGTGACAACCATGCTTCATGGTTCATTGTTGATACCTTTGCATCATGTAATGTGATTGGCACTTTTAGCCTAAAGTCAAACTTTGGACTCCAAAGTGAAATAAGGTACAGTTCTAAGTGTTGTAGCACACCCTTTTAAAAAAAATGGCCAGTAATAATATAAAGACTAATGCTATATTTATGCTAGTGCCTTCATTTTGGTGCAAGAAAAATTAGATAATCTGGAATGGCACGAGCATTTTTTTTTTCATTAAGAGCATATATATGTTAAAGAAATGGTACATTTTTACATTAATCTTTTGGCTAATGCTTCATGAGAAGACAGCATCCACTTTTATTCCTAAATTTTTATTTATTTCATTATTCTTTTTGTTGTTATATATTATCTTTCTTAATTATTAATTACTTTCTTATGTAAGTACTGAAGATTATTTTTGGTTGTGGTACATCCAACGAGGAACATGTGCTTGCCATTGAAGCACACGTCAGAAACAACCTCCATATACCATATATAGGTTACGACATATGAGATTAGCCTAAATAGCATTTAAAATTGTCTGTCGTGTCTAAATTTTCATTTTACTTCTCAAATGCATTGGAATATGTTTATGATAATTATGGTTTTCAAAGTGAAGGTATATGGATTTTCTAGAGTAACCACTGTATATGTTAGCTGAGTTTCTAACTTGAAAATTCAACTACTTTCAACATTTTTTTATTCTTGGAATTTTTATATGCTGTAACACGTATGCCATTGGGGTGACATTTCATTGTAACACAGTTATTTGGGATCTTTATCTGGTATTATAATGTATTTTGGTTGGAAGGTTAAAAATAGAATATTGATTTTTCATCGCCATATTCTGTAACACAATTATTTTCTCATTTCATGTAAGGAAATAGCACTCGTTTCTAATATAATAAAATTGACTCTTATTCTTCAAATATAGAACTCTTAATTTTGGGTCTGTTTCGATTTTATCCATTCATTTGTGTACACCTTTGCTTGTTAATCTTGTTAATCATTATCACTGTGTGATACAAACGTGTTTAAATCAATGTCAAGTCCAGTCAAATGTGTATCTATTTTAACCGTACAAATTATAACTTATAAATTAAAATTAGGCTTTATGTGATTAAATTGAAATCAAATCTATTAAAATGTGTATCTATTTTATCGTTGCAAATTATACCTTTTACATTAAAATTAAGTTTAACGTGGTTTTGTGAACTTTCCACACATGCAGTTACTTGCTGAAATCTAAGGAATTTCCTACAACAACTATCCAAAGAACTTCATCAGTATCAAATGCAGAACAATCATTCTACAGATGATACGTGATTCCTACATGATAGTTTTAGATTTCCACCCTCTTGCAAAGAATGTTTTGCAACATTTTCTGAAACTTAACAGTTTTATGTGTAGTCGTTCATCTATGGTCCTATTCTCACATCTGTATCAATTGAAGGCTTTCATCATCAAATACCCATCACTTTTTTCAAGAACTAATAATAATAATAACAATAATAACATAATTAACCAACACCCTCCAAATACAAATAAGGTAACAAACACCCTTAGTCAGCCCTATACAAACCAAACTGACTGTAGTAAACTTTAGTCAGGAAAGCATAATCTCTCTTAAACATTGCTATTACATCATCACATTCAGTTTAGGCAGCTACAACTTCTTCATCGTCAAAACTCAGATTTAATGTCTGCAATTTAAAGCCAGAACCTTGTATGGTTTCTACCAGACCAGAAGCCACTCCTGTAGCTTGGACTGTTGTCTGTTTTCTCAACTGAACAAGAGCACAAAAAGTCATTAATGATCTTGAAGTCAAATTAAACTCTGTTGAATAATGTTCACCTAATAAATAGTCACATTTTAAATTGTTAGTTAAAATATACATTTGATTCTTATAGTTTATGCTCATTTATGAACTAGTTCTTGTACCTAAACACCTTATGTTTTAGTCTCGATACAAGTGCTTTATTAAGCTTTCGTCCCTCTTGTAACTTGCCATTTTAACACCATTAAGGTTAATATACATATCCGGTTTGTATAGTTAATACTCATTTACGAATTAGTTCTAATACAAAAAAGATTATATTATTTAGGCTCTAGATAACTGGTTCATCTCGCTTTGGTTCTTGCTTTAACAAAAAAGATTATAACTTGCTGTTTTACAATTCTATAATGATGTTAAAATGGCATAATATAGCAGGAATCAAAGCATAATCAAACATTCATATAGAGATTAAAATGTAAATTTTTTAGATATAAGGATTAATTTACCAATAATAGCCAATTGTAAAAACCAAATATATTAGATGAAAACCTTGACAATGGTAAGGTATTAGATTTTATAAGTTTGATATTGATCAAGGATACAATGGGTTTCAAAATTCAATTACTGTACACTATAATTATTAAGAGGCATTCTTAAAGATTTCAATCCCAATTATGGTGCCAACCCATAGGAGAAAAATAATTAAACTCATGTTGGGCAATCATCGATAATCAAGAGTTCAGAATTCATCAGTTAAAACAACTATGCCTTTTTGGCAAGCGGCTATTGTATTAAAGTACTTAATATACCTCTAAAATTGCAAGTCCCTCAACAAGCTGAAACTTCAAATTGGTAACACCTTCCGTCTCCTATAAAAATATATATATTGGAATAATGTTAAGTAAGTGTTAAGGTGAACATAAAAAATGCTCAACAAAAATGAAAATAATGCAAAAGATTGAAGAAAGAAAACAATCAAACAACTGACCAAACTATCTCACAAAAGTAGAATTAAAGGCTTTCTACTTATAAACCCTTAATGCAGGGCATATAAGTAAGAGACATGCCCATCACTAGATTAAGCTATTATTGTGGCTGCAAACAAAGAAAAGTACTCCCCCTCACATCACCTTCATTGCAAAAGCAATATTTAGTAGAAAGCCAAAATACTGTGACATGTTACAGAAATGACCATGTTACAAGAAGAGTGCTTACTACAAGCTAGGATTTTATAGAGAGGAGAAGAGACAAATGCTTCCCCAACATAAATAGGATTATAGGGGTTCCATGTCTCAACTCTCACACCTAGCCAATATGGGATGGGACTTACCCTCCATTACTATCCTTTGATCATCTTCCCTCATTCAAAAACTGGGTTGACTATGATTTCCCAAATATAGTATGAACTGCCTTATTTTAAATCACATTTGAATCCAAGATATTCAATATTGTGTCTAAATAAACCTCCAAACATTTGATATCTTGTTTTTAGCCTCCTACATCATCATCCGGTAACAAAAACCACTCGTCTTTTTCAGAAGAATAATTTTAAAATGAGGACCTAAATTATAAGTATTATGCTGCTATGCTCATCAAGTAACTCAGAACAGTATCAACATGAGTGGAAATACGAAGACACACAATGGCAAAAAATGGCGTCTAAGCATCAAATTTATATTCACATTGAAGTGATTGAACAAAAAAATTAGACTAAGAAAATTCATAGTTACCTCTATAGCTTTGGTCAAAGCTGGAATAGCTGTTTCATTCACTGTTCCCTCTGCCTTAAAATGTGCGGAAGTAAACAGTTAGCTGAGGTTATGATTGTTTCTAAATTTGTTTATAAATTGTTTTGGAGAATAAAAAATTGAAAAAACTCATTTGAACTCAATACAGTAACTTGCACGAAAGTGATGAGAGAAAAAAGAGGAGTAATGTTCTCCATCTTTTTTGGCCTGTTTCTAAGAACATGAATAAAAAAAATTGTTAAAAAGCTGTTCTGATTTTTTTATTTTTAAAAACAATTTCCCATTTTAAAGTTTTTTAAAACAATTGTTAAAAAAAACAAATCATTAAATAATTTTTTTAAAACTGTCTTTAAAAACAATTATCAACAGGGTCAACGATGGAAGGGCATTGGGGTTTATTTTAATGACTAAACCCTCAATTTATATCTTGAACATATTAGTCCATTGAAACGTGAAAATTAAATTACCATGTAGGTGCAGAAAATATATATTTCAAAAGTCAAATTTATCCCTGGCGCTGTTAACTCGAACCAATCTGACTGATAATAGCATGCATATATCACGGACTTAAGTAGAAAATTTCATTTTTTCGGGACTAATACAACAATGCTATATCTTATAGTTTAATTTGGCTATTTATATGCCATAATTTATAGAGATTAATATCTAAAACCCCTTTACAATTTAGCACCCCAATTCCAGTAAAAGGCATTGAAGTGAATGATTCATGGAGTTAAATTAAACAAACGATCAAAAATTGTGAAATGGGTAGGTTTGGAAAATTCAGTAAAAGTTGAAATAGAAAAGGGGAAGAAGAAATGTTGTACCTGAAAGAACATAGTGAGAGTATCAGATGGGGAAACGGGAACTACAACGGGTTGCTGTTCCGATGTTGATGTTTGTTCAGACTCGGTGTTGAATTGTTGTTGTTGTTGTTGGGTCTCTTCTTCCACTGCCTTAGTCACACGTTTCTCAATTGTTTGTGCCTTCAAAGTTGAAGTGCGAGAACGCAAGGGAAAGCTGCAAAAGCCTAAGGAGGGAGAAGAAGAAGAAGGTAGTAAAGAAGAAGAGAGGCGAATTGAGTGCAAAGAAGATGAGATTAGTGTGGCCATTTTCACAGTACCAAGTGAAGTGAAGTTGCTACCCTATCTATCTATCTCTCTATATATATTTCTCCGACATAAGACCAAAACATCTTTATATACTTTCACAAATTGGTAATTTGCAATGTACTAATTCCACAAAACCGTCGCTAACCACTTAACCACCAATTGATACCTTGTTTAGATTATCACTTTTTTGTTAATTACACTATTATTTTTGTTTTTCTATATATGTTTAATGTATTTTAAAATTAAATTTTAAAAGTAATTTATCTATAAATTTTGGAATGACATTTTTAAACTGTTTTTTTTTTTGTCGAGAAAGTGTCTTTAAAAATATTACATATTAAATACACTAATAAAAAAAAGTCGTGTAAGGCCTATTAAACTCACATGTATATAATTAATTTATTTAGCAGATATTATATTTTTTTTTGTCAGTTAAAAATAAATAATAAGGTTGTGATTTTTACAGGTAACACATTAAAACTCCTCTCCATTTTTCTCTAACTTTATCACTAAGCTATCAACTGAGCAAGTATTAATCTTGAGAGACCTTGTGTTATCTGATTATTGTTTTTAAAGTATTTATTTTTGTAAACAAAAAAAAAAAAGTAACCATAACAAAAGTAACAATAACTCTAAGTAGATCTTTAGGCCTAACGATATCCTTAGACCCAATTTAATGACCAGAAAAACACAGGATTTTTTCTTGTTTCACTATTTTATTTTTTATTTTTTTTCTGTTTTGCACTTTCTCCCTTTTATTGAATGCAAATCAGATTTATTGGAACAATTTAAACTTGGTGCTCTAAGCTCAGATACAAACTTTCGTTTAGGATATCTTGGCCTCTATTTAGATTAACAAATTCTTAACCTGTATAATTAATTACCATTAGTTATTATTAGACATCATAATTATTAATAGAGAACTTTATATATAACCATTTTAAATATACATATCCTAAATTTGTTGATCATAACTCAGATTCTTTCACGATCTCTATGTTAACAGTGTGAAACACTAAATTATTTGTTTCCTTCGCTTTCATCAAGAGCAGAGAAGCTCTATTCACCCACAAAAAAAATGGGAAATGAGACTTTGATCAAAGATTCAGAAGGAAATGGATAAAAAGTTTTTTGTTGAATGATTACGAATTTAAAGATGCATGAAATTACCATCAAGCAACACCATAAAACAGAAAAACTGTCAAATCCCTTTTCATATTATATTTTTGTATATAGAGCATTATATAAATATCTTAATTTCATAGTTACTGACAACGAATAATATTAAAACAAAGGAATTTTCTCATGCCACGATGCAAACATCAGTCACGTAGTTACTACAGACAGCAAGAGTTTTAAGTCAAAACAAGTTAATGAAGACAGAAAATACTAAGAGATTCAGAAACATGCACAATTTGAAAGTCTTAAAGCTATTAATGGTGGTGGGGATTTTTCATGTTATAGCAAATTCAGATTGACAAAATACTGTTTTTATCTATCTATGCCTCGCAGTGTCCTATACAAAAAATGCACCCCAGTATGCACTGTTAGAAATTTAACTGGGTTCTTTGTTAAAGCTAGAATGCACCCAAGTTGAAAGCAAAGGGCACAAGCACACTGCCAGTTGAGCATTAAAGCAACTGACAATCTTCTTGAACTTCACCAGCTGCAAAAGTTTAGGATCCAACGAAAGAATGAATTCAATGAAGTCGTGTTTTTGTAATTATAATGAAAAGAACAATTGAAATGTATAGGGAACTCATAAGAGCCTTCAGTCTTACCTTTGAGATTTATGGCCAGGTTTGCTTGAACATCAGCTTCTGAGTTATATTCCTTGAACATCAACAAAAGCATTTTGTAAACAAAATATCAAACAATGAGGCAAAAAATAAGGGAGTTGTCATCTAAAAAATATATAAAATTAATGAGAACTAAACTGCATGTAAATCTTCACATACAAGTGATCTTAATTGTACACAGACAGACTACTAGGAATCGTATATATAGATGCAAGCATTTTCAATTCTATAAAATTTAGTAACTCAATCATTTGGATCAAACAGAGGTAGGCACTTGAATTAAAAAAATCATAAATGATTCCTATCAATCTCCATCTTTTGTCAATCCAGAGATGTTCACTTGACACTACCCACAAAAGGGGATGGAACAATTAGTCCTAATTAAACGTTAAAGTGGGCGGTTACCCTAAGAACGTGATTGATCTTGAATGACAGAAATTTATCCTTCAGCTTCTTGGCCTCATTACATAAGTAGGCCATATTCTGGTTTTTGATTTTCCACAAACCCTGAATCTGTTGCATAAGCAATCATATAAGACAGTAAACTGATCTGAAGAAAATGTATAAAAACTGAGGAGTAATTATTGGTAAATCTCTTTTCTTTTATTTGGTGAATAATTGTTAGTCTCAAAATCACAACCCAGATACAATTTAAGTAGTGAAATACAGACCAAGAGGTAAGCAGATAAGGTGGAAATTGAAAAAATTATTAAAAATAATGCATACTCTAAAAAGTTAACAAACCTGATTGCAGACAAGCAGGGAGTCTCCTTGGACACGAATGTGCTTATATCCTTTCTTCAGGGCTTGTTTCAGTCCTAAAATTAAACCACGATATTCAGCAACATTATTTGTTTGAGTGCCCACCCCTTCACGCAATCGATAGACCTAAGAATAGACATAGTGGTTAGCTACATTCTGAAAACAATATAATGACAAAACAAATTGTTGCATACAGTAGAGACCTTGCTCCCATCTTCAGCACGCAGAATAGCTCCAGCACCAGCTGGTCCAGGATTTCCTTTTGAAGCGCCATCAAACTCAAGGATACAAGAAAGCTGCAAATAGAGATACCAGATTTTTTTGCTGTATATTAACAATTAAAGTAAGCCAAATATTCCAACACAAAAGGAAGTGGAGAAAACAATAAAGAACATCATGGCATCATATGCAAGGAAACCAGTGACCAACAATAAAGGGCCATGGATATGAAAGAAGGCTAAATCATTGATTCAAATGAAGAATTGTGAAACATTTCATTTAATTTAAAGGCCATCAGATCATATGCACCTGTGCTACCAGATCTCAATCAAAGATAAGAGGTCTAACAAATTCTTTCAGTTGATAAAATGTCTTAGGCAGGGTAAAAATTTATTGCTTTTCCAAAATAACAAATGATTCCTAGTACAATTCATCCCAAAATGATAAAACAGAGCACCCCATATAGTGTCAAACAGGACATTTGTCTTGACTGTTGCACTGGCTCAATGGCCCCAAGTGCATTGCGAAATATTTTATCACGCATTGCTGTTGCAGCCATCAGCATTCAGCTACAGTAATTGTTACTTTTGCATATGCATGTATTAATGCTAGAATAGGATGCTTGAATTTTTAAAGTTGAGACAACGATAAATTAACAATCAACTAAATTTCCACAATTTCCACACAGCAACACTTAAGTAAGAAAGCCAAAACTTATTAGTAGATTACAATCCTATGACTAGCAGAACAGATATATGCATTACCACTTGCAGATCTTTGGACAGTCACAAACTACATGACACGTTATCAAGGGAGGTCTAAATTACATGGAGGTTGTAAAATATATTAATTAACTAGAACAGGCATTCACAATTATGATGTAGAGTCTATCTGATATCAGCAATTAGCAATGCAAAGCATTACCAAACCAACTCACATTAGTAGAAAACTCTGCCTGGGATCCACTTAATGAATGATGCCTCTGTAAATTTGTTGGAAATGAAGATGATCCAACCACCTTCTGTACAAGAAAGAAAAGAAAATAGTACATAATGGCAAAGACAAAATCAACAGCTACGACTGTAAGACCAAAGTGCTAATGTTACTAGATTGGATCTTAGGGGGCACAGGTGGCTACAGGAGAAGTCAGGAACGTTATATTTAACTTTCACATCCTACAAATAACGTTATATTGAGGCTCCAAATGTGTTTTCACTAAAATCAATAGCATTTATGTGGTAATATTAAGGTGTGAGTCCCCTGTTGAGGATATGTCAATGTTGATAACTTACACTAGAATCAAACTGAATGGCTCCCTGCAAGATCTTTGATGATGAACTCACATCAACAGATCTTCCTTGGGCAGAATATGGATCCTGCACAAAAACCATCTCCTCTTTAAGTTAGACTTTTATCAGTCGCAAGTTTGCAAGACACATAAATTACACGAGATTAAAGCCTTAAAAGTTACAAAAAAGAAAAGTAGTTTATCCAAATATTTTGTACTGCAAATGAGTTTGGTCAATCTCACCATGAGTTTATTCTAAATACAAGTTTGAAAAAAAGTTTACAAAATGTTTCAAGCAGGAAAATGACCTTAAATGTGATTCTAGCATAAGCAACTCTCATTTAGCTTTTGCTTTAAGTTGAGAGTTTTATACCAAGTTTTACTGCAAACTTGATTTTGCGATAAAGGTTTCCAAACATAAAACAGTTCACTTTCAAAATCAATTTTAATCAAAATCAAGATCATCTCAAATCATGCAAATGCTCACCAAAACACACACTAAACCGTGATGAGAACTAATGATAACTACAGATGAGCATCTATGCATAAAGCTCAAGTTAACAACATCCATACTTTTGACATGAAAAATGGCCTTGACCTCATATATATGAAAATCTTCAGGAAGTATTGGAAAAATAAGAACAAATTAATTCTCAAACCTGATAAGGGCAAGCAACAAGTCTTCCAAAAAGCCCCTCATGCACATCAGAAGCACTGATAGAATAAGGGGCTCCCTTAAGCCCATGTGAGACAAGGTACTCCTCAGTTTTGTGAGGTAAAGAAAACCCTTTGTAAATACTTAGAGAGTCACCAGGTACCTGCTTAGAATACACAAACCAAATAAACAAAGAAAAATGCCAGTTTCTGAAAAGCAAAAGCCAACCATAGAAGCCTAATACATATCTAGTTGTGAAGAAACTCCATTTAGAAGTTCAATGTCAAAATGCATCCCTACCCAAATGGAGAAAAAGACCAAAGACAAAAACTTTACATCATGGAAGAACATAACAAGGTTAGAAGAATATATACAGAAGATGCAAGTAAAAGTTGGATGTCACTGAAAGACTTGTAGATGCCAACAACATCCCCCTTTCTTACAACGAAGAAAGCGTCCTTTTCCTCAGCCATTGCAACACTGCAATCACAAGGGTATGATCAAACAACAAAAATCATGTCAGCAAATAACTCAAAATTTGAGTTAACGTTATACAGTGATCAAACCCAGTTCCAGAATCACTTTCTCAGTGATAGAAGCCAAGGTTTCGAAGTATGAGTGTTTGAACTTTGAAGCGAAGAAAGAAAGAAGCAACGTTGAATGACAGCGACAGAGTCAGGACACGACGGACAAACAAAAAGTGTAACAGTGCACTTTGCTGTCGTGTGTAGCGTAGGTGTTTTTGTTTTTTTGTCAATAGCGTAGTGTTGTTGGCTATGACCTGATTATATGAAGGCCCATTTCATTGTTAATTTTGTAGTGGGCTATGACTTGGTTCTAACCCCACATGGAACAGAATTTAAGCCCAATTTATATGGTTGACCAAAAAACAGCCCAATGTTTTATTCCTTTTCTCTATTTTTTCAGCGTAGGGGGACATTTTAATAGAAGAGATAGTTATTATAAGAGGAATTTGTTGCACTAACAAATGCTTAAAACCCATCCTTTAGAATCAAACCACCTTATATTTGTATTAACTAAGGTTGTGGAAATTCTCACCTTATAATTATATTAAGATTTTGTATGTGTTCTGCTACATTGACCAGGTTTTTAGACGTTCTTCAAAAAGAATACTTCAACTATGTTATCTAAGAAAATTTATTTGCTTCAACAGGTACTTCTATTCTTTTACAAAACTTTCAACCTTTTTTATAATAAATAAAATAAGTAATGACATGTTTTTGTTCTTTTGTATTTTTGTATGAGATGTAAAACAACTTTTGTAAGAATAATATTCTCTTCTTACAAATCAGATCAGTGCATTCAGCGTAAAAACTCGATTGAGCTATACCAATGCTAATTTAAACGAACATTGTGCTTTTATTATGCCACAATTTGCCTTCTATGTATATGCTTGTAACTAATGAGTAGGAAAATGCATAGAATATAAATTTTTTTCCCATATTATGAAGATTTTCTTCAGTTTTTTTCCCCTTTCATTTTAATCAAAAGACAAGCGATACAGTAGGCATTGTCGTGTAATTAATAGTAACACAAGCAATTGGAGAGAAAAAGTTACTCATTTCACAAGCTATTCTTCGATGAAGTAAATACAGTTATGTTCCAACAATAGTTTTCTTAGTCCTAAAGCTTTACAATTACATAAGTGAAAATCCACAAAAAGCCAATAAACCATCACTCTCTGAGAAAGTCTACACAAAAATGTAATAGGAAAAAAAAAATTACATTTTTTATCTATGATCCTCGATGCTCATTATTCTTTATATTTTATGATTGGACAATCAACGTTACTCTATATCTCATTTCTTGGCCGCTGATGTATAGTCTTACAGTTGTATCTTGATGAACTTCAACTGAAGTATGGACTAAACCATGTGTTGGTGTTTAAAACAATTTCCATGCCTTTATTTCAGCTCACTTGCTCACCAATTAAGTCCAAACCCATTACTAGAAATGCCAATCCTTGGAAGAGCAAAAAATAGAAATGAACACCATGTGCTGATAGAAGACTTCTTGCAGATGCTGTGAGCAAAAGAAATGCAAGTGCAAGCTCCTTCCTATAGAGCTTGTTTCTTTTCCTCTTGGAAGGTAATTCTGATTCCTTAAGCTTGCTTAATTGTTCCAAGCCAGACTCTGAGTGCCTTCTGAGAATTTTCTCTTCATTTGAAGACTTTGATTCTCTTTCAGCCAAGGCTAACAAATCTGACTCAGAGGACCTACCAGTCTTCTTTGTCACAACCCACTCATAAGCACTTCCTAGTTGAAACAATCCAGAAATCATGGCGTTGAACTTTGTCACTGACATGGTGTTCTCAAAGAGAAGATAAGGAACCAGAAAAGGGACAGATTTTGGGGATGGAAGGATGTTCAAGAAAGACATGAAAATAGGGACATAACATATCACCCAAAGGGGTAGTTCAGACTCAGGTATGAACATAGTCAAGGGTAGAATGATGCAAAACAAGGTGAATGAGTAGAAGGGAAGTATAAGTTTCCTCAATAGGAAGAACAAAAATATCAAATTAGCCTTCTTCCAAGCTGATATCTGCATAGAATAGAAGCAAATAAGAGTTAGAAAATTATAGACATTTCACAGAATAAAGATTTATAATAAGTTTAAATAGAGCTGAAAAATAATGAGACCTTGGAAGTTAGTATGGCAGGAAGACATAGCCGGAAAAGCTGCATTGGACCAGAGTGCCATCGATGTTGTTGTTTCTTATAAGCTTCATAAGACTCTGGTAATTCACATAGAACTTTGACATCATTAAGGAAGATAAACTTCCACCCATTCAAGTGAGCTCTGACTGCAATGTCCATGTCCTCAACTGTGGTCCTCTCTAGCCACCCTCCTGATTCCTCCAGAGCCTTTATCCTCCAAACACCTGCTGTTCCATTGAATCCAAAGAAATTTAGGAAATGGCCATTGACTTGTTGTTCCACCTCAAAGTGAAAGCACAAGTTGATGTTCTGGAGCCTTGTAAGTAGATTCTCATCTTTGTTCACAAATGACCATCTAGCCTGAACTAGACCCAAGTCAGGTTTTCCCTGTAAAGAAAAGCCACAAGAATCTTTAGAGGGATTTGTTTAGACCATACAAAGAATAAACTCTCTCTTGTCCTTATTTGGCTTATAGTTATGGCACCTACCTTGAAATGGGGAATGGTTAGTTTAAGGAAATCAGGATTGGGCTGGAAATCTGCATCAAATATTGCCACAAATTCATAGTCTTTGACATAGTCACATGACATGGCTGACTTAAGATTTCCAGCTTTATACCCAGTTCTGATCAATCTGTGCCTGTACACAATGTTGACCCCTTTATCTTTCCAAGAGGAAACTTCTTCTTTGATGAGAAGCTGTAGATTCCCATCATCTGAATCATCTAGGACTTGAATTAATATTCTGTCTTTTGGCCAATCAAGTTGAGCAGCAGCACCAATGGATTGTGCATAAACCTTAATTATATTAGACCACACAAAAATGTTTCAGCTTTGGAAGTAAAAGTGGAAAATCATGTCTAAATTAGGCTACCAATTACCAATCATAAGACAAACTGCAATTCCTAGGTTAAGCTAGGACCTAGGATGACCCCATTAGTGTAAGAAATTCAACCAATAAACATAACCCATTTGCAAGAATATCACAATTCATTATCATAGTGAGTAAGTTGCATCATTGCTTTCTGTTACCTCTCTCTCATTGCACATGGGAATCTGAACAAGGACCATTGGGAAGCTTGAAGGATCCTCAACATCATATGCATCTTCTTCAATGGTTGGCTTCAACTTCTTATACTTGATCCAGAAGCACCCAAGGCAGAGAACAAGGCGATCAAGGGACTGAATCAAGAAGAGCACAATGCAGAACTTAGAAACCAACAAGACTAGAGGAGCAACATAGTCTTCCCTGAAAGAAAGCCAAGCCACATAGGACCAATGCACCAAACCCTGAACCTCCCAAGGTTGAATCATATGCAAGTTCCATTTGTTGAAATGAGCAATGATTTCTAAAGCCAAGCCACCAATTGAGAGAGCAAGAAAGAGCTTGATGAACCTGTACAACCTTCCTCTGCTCTTAGGCCCCTCATCGCTTATGTCAGCCAATGAAATGCGCTTCTTGACCAAAGCAAAGGTGGCTCTGAGACCATTGGTCAACCATGACAAACATGTCAGAACTCTGTGAAGTTTAAGGAGAAGAAACCACGTAAATTGCTTGGGACTAGTAGCTTTCTGCTTCTCTGGAAACATGGGAGAATCCGAATCATGAACTTGTAACAAGGTGAAGTCATTATTGTTAGACTTCTCAGTTGTCACGGCAACTGAATTGGGTGCCATCACACTTTCTTTCCCTCACTATGTTTTTGTTTTTTCCTAGGTACGTACTTGACTTCTTGGGAATGAAAAAGAAAAGGAAGATTTTGAGAAGAGGGTCGATGGCCACCAATGGCAATGGAAGGTAATCAGAGAGTTTTCCTCAACATCATCATCAATGTATGAACAAATGAGAAATTAAAACCCAAAAGGATCATTCTCATATCGGAGTTTCTCTTCTGTTGTTGGTTTTCAAACCTGAATTCAAGCAAATATAAGAAATTCTAATGCAATTCTAAGTTTAGTACTCTAATTTGAGAATAATAGATATATAGAGAGAGAGAGAGAACCACTTTGACAGGCTTAAGCTAGGTATTAATAGTGCTTCAAGGTAAGAACAGCTTAAAAATATGATTTTTGTTACATGGGGTGAAAGCAAATAAGCAATAATGTAATATACACTAATCCACTTTATGTTAGGATATGTCTCATTTGATTGGTTAATTAGCATGCTCTGTAACAGAACAGCCTGGGATGTTGACCAATTTTTGTTAGCCACGTAAGGGACCGCACCAGGAAGAATTACTCCTGCACCACACAGTAACATTGATTCTCTGGGGGTGACAACAGGATACAGCTAAAGTGCAGATCCCCCCACAAGGGGAAATGCTTGTTGTCTGCTGTATGAAAGATTTGCACAGTGTTTGCGTGTCTATGAATCCCCACAGAAATTTCCCTCCTTACTCTCTCTCTCTCTCTCTCTCTCTCTCTCTCTCATCACTCAGATGTTTCTGCATTATAATATTTTTATATCGATACGTGCATAAAGAGTAACTTATTAACATTTTTCAATTATTTCGCCTGCCTATTACCATATTACACTTGGTTCCTTGCATTAATTTATGATTTGTTTAATTATTAATACGCGTTAACAAATTTGTTAAAAATTTTAAATGCAAGTAACTTTCCCTCTATTTAGCATTACCCTTTTTAACGTGTAACACACGTTGTACAATAAATGAAGATATTGATGAAAATAGTAATATTTTAAAATTTTTAAAGGTGATAAATATTTAAAAAGTTAAAATATTCAAAGATACATATGATTGAGGTGGAGGAAATAAGAGTTTTGGCATAAGAGAGGTTTGTGATACTATTTTCGTTATTGAGTGAGTTTTGCACGACACCCTCTACTTGAAATTTTGTATGTATTTGAAGTATCATGTATCAAATACATTCTATATAGTGTGTGCAATGTATCTATAATTATCTAAATTTTTTGTTTTGAAAACATAAAGTGAAGCCAAATCCTCTGATAGTAGCCACATACAGGACAAATGCAAGGGAAAATTTATGCCATCATTGATGCCGTGTTTTGGGGTTTAATTTGATGTGTGGTCAAACTAGCCAAGTGCAAGTTGACAAAATTGGGTGTTCAACTCCTATTTTAACTATATCCATTCACACCAATTTTTTTTTTATTGGTTTTCTTTCTTTTTAGGTGCAGCTTTGTTTATAGCTTAATGCACATTTTTCACAGTTGCAAGGTATAAATGCCATTAACAAAGTTAATAAGAGGAATACTAGTAGCATAATATCTAATATATTATTTGTTATTAATTAAAATTTATTAAAAATAAAAAATATTAAATTAAGAATAATAGAGAGTGGATTAGAAAAAGGTATGTTGCAATAATTTTTCTCATTTAAGTTTAATGCATATTTTGAGGCAAATTAAAGTTGGGCAGTGGACAACAGAGCCAAATATGGTGGATCTGATTAATGTATAAAAATGGCACCGATCAATTAGCCTTATACATGGTTTTGGAACAAAGCAAATTTTAGTGTCAAAAGATAAATTATAAAATTTCATATAATATTAACATTTATTTAATATTTTTTACCCTTTTCTTTTTGTTACATTGTGTTATCTATCACTTTTTCTTCTTCAAATATTTTTCATTTTTAACATATTTTTCTAAGGAACCTGTTTTTGCGTAAATTTAGAATTCACAGGGTATCTTGTTCTTGTGGCCCTGGTTTGGTATAAAAAGGTGTGTCGGTGGGATTAGGTTGTGACGCGGTGTTCAAAATCACCGTTATAAAAATATAATTAGGTCAAAGATTGCGTAAATTGTTATAACGTCTTAAAGATTAAAAATTATTAAATAATTATTTTTAAATATCATATTATATATATATATATATATATATAATATAATAAAGGTCAATGATTTATTATAAACATATTTTTAAAATATTAAAACAATTATTACTGTTAATTTAAGATATAAAATATTTTTAAAATTTATGAGTACCGTAATAAATATAGTTTGTATCTGTGTGATTTATAATTTATAAAATTATTTTTTTAACTTGTGTCTAAGGATAAATGATGATTAATTAAAAAATAAACTTTTCTTTATTAAAAGTATAACATTTAAAATAATTAATATATTAAACTTTGTAATATTTAATAAATTTTAATAAAAAATTATTATATAAGTTCTTTTATTGTGTTTTTAAATATATATTAAAAATAATTATAATAAAATATTTTTAATTAAAATAAATATAAATATACAGATATTTAAAACTTATAAACCTTTAAAATTTTAAAAGTTATTTTAAGCTATAAACAATTTATTGTATTTAACATTAATTAAAGAAATTTAAGTCGATTTATAAAACTATGAAAAAAAATTTATTTAAAAATAAATTAATATTAGATTGATACAAATTAAAAAAACAAAAATGATCATGACTGAAATTTGATTTGACTTGATCATCTTTACCATTTCCATATATTCTATTAAATTTAACGTTAATAAAAGAAATTCTAATTTGTTAAACATAAAAAAAGTATTAATTTTCTTTTTATTTAAATAACTAACTAAGAAAAAAATTAATATTGATTTGATTTCACTTAGAAACATTAAAATTTGATTTTAATTGAAATTTACAAAAAAAATACTAGTATATTTAATGTTGATTAAAAATTTTGAGTATTGACTAATAAATTATGGAAAGTAAAAGTAAATTTTATTTAAATACTTAATCAAGAAATAAATGAATATTAATATAATTTAATTGATTTGATATAATGTAAAATTTTATGACATATGTTACAACATAAGAAAATGACTTCATGAAAAAAGGGAATATAATATTGATATTTTACCGCATTTAAGAACGATGCAAATTTAATAGATAAATAAGAATAACATACAAATTTTATTTAGATAAACTATTGATGTAAAATTTATGTCTTAATAATGTTTAAACTTCCAATTTTTTTAAAGTTAAAATTAATAAAATTTGACCTAAACTTAACAATATCTCAACAAAAATAAATTTATTATTTTTTATTATTGACTAAAGAAATGTTACATAAAAATTATTATCATATTAAAGAAAATTAGGTCATTAAAAAATTTTAAAAAATAAAATTACCATAATTTTTTTTAATTATTTTAATTAATGTTAGAAAGTAATCTTAAAGCTTACTTTTAAGTAAAAAGTACCTTTATAAGTTCCTCTATACTAATTAGCCTATCTAATTTTTTTTTAGGCAGAATAATTAGCTTATCGTTACTACTGCATTCAGACATTCCTTATCGGTTGGTTTAGAAATAATTGAATTGTAGAATAATATAATCATTGAAACACATTAAAGCAAAATTTAGTTATCTCAGAATTTTAACATTTTGGCTCAAATTGAATAAATATTTAGAAAAAATTTTACAAGAGAAAAAAATTAATATAAAAAATAATATTTTTATAAGTTTAAAATAATTTATACTTTTTTATTTTTCTAAAGTTTTTTTTATTTAACTTCTTTGAATATAAACTATTTTAAACTTGTAAGAAAACATTTATTTTTTTATATTTTTTTTTCACCTGTTAAAACTTCTTTATCAAAATCTGTATCTTTTTTTTCCCTTAAAGTAGGTAAGTATAAAAGAAACTCTAAAAATTAATGTTATGCAATTTGAAACTTAGTATTAAAGGAGTAAACTTATTCATTTTAAAAATCTACAAACATCTCTTATATTTAAAATATTAAATTTATTATAAAATTACCAAAATATCCTTAATTTTGAATTTTGTTTAATTTAGAAAGTAAAATATTTATTTTACTTTTTTTCAAAATAATTAATTTTTTTAAATAACCATTATCAAGTACTTTTTTAGTTTTTAGAGTTTGACACAATTAACATATAACTGATTGTATTTTGATTAAGATTGTATTTTTAATTGTGTTTGAAAATGATTTTATTTTAAAAGTTAAATTTATTTAAGTAATTTTTATGCTTCAAATAGAGTAGTCTCTAATTATTATAAAAAAAAAATATTAAGTCATACAAAATATTAATGATAAATACAATTCATTTATATTGACTAATCACTAGTTTTTTGTTACATAAAATTTAAACTTGCAATGCGTTAATCATTTTACAAATAGACTGACTAAGACTTTGTTTAGGAGTTTAGAAAGAGTAAAAAAAGAAAGATTTGAAAGGGGAGGAGGGGAAGAGAGAGAGAAAGAGGTTAAACTTTTTATTTGTTTGGATATTTAATATTGAGAATGGAAGGAGTTTAAGTATATATATATATAATATTATTATATTTTTTATTTTTATAAAAGATAATTATTTTTCTTTCTTTAAAAATTATTTTTAAAATTAAAATTAAAATTTTTTTATAATTTTTTTAAAAGAATTTTCACTTGAAAAACTAATGTTTAAAAAAAATTAAAATACTAATTATGAAAGAGTAGAAAAAAATAGGTGTCAGGAAACTTTCAAATTAGAAGAACTCAAATAATTAGCTTTGAGAAGCTTTGTATGTTTCAAAAATTTCAAACTATTTATCTTCTAATTAAGTAACTTTCAATTAAAGATTAATCCCTCCTAACTCTTTATTTCTTTTTTCTTTTTCTCTTAAATACAACTCTCAAACATAGTCTAAGAATTTAAGTTTAAGCAATTTATTAGTTTAACAATTATGATTTTCTCACATCTCTTTATCTTATATTCTGGTTATATTTTTTTCCCTTCTTATTTTATTATACTATTTATTACATATTTTATTTTTATCGTTTATTTTCTTTACTATACTCATCTCACACTTTACAGGAGACACGGGAGGATAATTATTCTTTTATCTAACCATTACGGTACGTCATATTTATCAATTTATATCAAAACAACAATAGGCGATAAGTCCTAATGAACAGCTAAAAACGCACAAGAACAAAAACAAAAACGAAACCCAAAAGAGAAAAAAAAAATGATGATGTTCTTATCCGAATTGAGATTTTGATGGTGTTAGTTACATGCATGAGACAAGTCCATTGTTTGAGAGACAAAGAAGAACAAAAGTTTTATTAAAAGCAAGTACTGAAGGCACAATATACTCTTTGGGTTAGAAAAATGGTGAGAAACAACACAACTGGGGTTGCTAGTGTTATTTGGTTCGGTGGTTTTGTATACTATAAACCCCAATTTTATCCATCAAACCCCACAAGAACAAGAATGCAAAAGAAACAGAATATGGGCACATACATTATGGGATTTGCATGTTGTCTTGGTGGTTGAGTTAGGCACAGTCATGTGATGTTAGAATCCTTACAGAGAACCCCATGTGAAGAGGTACCCTTTTCTGGTTGTCCACATCAATCTACTCTATAATTCGACTCGTCTTTTTCACTCCTAGACACCACTCCAGATACGTATTTTTTTTCATACATGCTATAATCTAATGTTTTGATTTTATTCTAACAATGAATTAAATAACCTATTCTTTTTTCTCCTTATTTGAATGAAATCAGTTTATAATCATTCATGATGATCTAATGAATCTAAGTCCAATTATAATTGGAATAGCACATTCCCAAGATCCATTTAGTATGCTTTTGTGTTGTCTGCTCCCAGTTAGTGTTTAGAACAGTGATCTTAGGTTTCAAGCAAACTACATCTTTGTACATTAAAAGGGTCTTAATTTGCATCATACAAACAGTTGTGCAAAGTGTATTAAAAATTTGTGATATACTAACAAAAATATATATATGCATTAGGATTGTTTTTCATTAGTATATATAATACTTATCTAACAGGAACCAAGTTGGTAGCATAAATATTATAAATTTACTTTTAACAATATAATATATTAATTATTATAGTATTTTTTATAATGATTATAAATTAATATATTAGAGATATGACTGAAAAGAGCTAGAAGTTCATTTCCTTGCTCGTCTTTATTGCTCCAAATGTCAAAGTTTTCTTGCAAGAAGAAACAATAAGATAATGACATGTCAAGGAAAAGACAGGAAATGAAACCGATTGAACTGTTTTTATGATGTGTAAAGGTGCTAAGTTTAAACAATTAAGCATCATTACGTGAAGCCCCAATAAGATAAAATTAATTTGATTTTCAAAGTGAATTTGAGTGACTATTTATCCCTTATAATGAATATTATACATAGAGTCACCATCTATTAACGTGTTGAATTTCAACGATTTAATTTTTTTAGATAAAATATAAAAATAAACAAATTAATCATTACTTTAAATATTTATATCAAATAAATAAATTTTGTAAAAAATTATTTAAATATTTAAATTTATAAATATTCAATTACATTACTTTATTTTAATAGTTAATATGTTTTTAAATATAAAGTATTAAATTTTGAATAAAATATTTACAATTATTAAAATTATATAAAGTTTGATGTACATTATTATAAAATAATTAAACAGTTGAATTAATTAGCATTATAAAAGTTATAAAAATATTAAAAAATATAATTACCTAAATTAAATAACTAGCATATATATGTTATTTTTTAAGTGTCAGCATCATCCATTCAATTTTAAATTTGGCCGACGATGAATGGGGTCAAATATCAATTTTTAACTGGTTGAGGTTTCTATCGTCATACTCTTCTTTGCTTATGACTTGCTAGCCTACACAGTTGGACCAAAATATAAAAATAAAATATTTTTTTTTTCTCCTTATCTTTTATAATCACTTTTGTATCTAAAATTTCGTGCACTTTGTCATCTCTCTAAAATATACTCAGAATTCAAAATCTGGGATAAAACATTCGTGAAAAATCCTAAATAAAAATTCAAATTTTAAAATTTTTATAGTTTTGATTGCGTAAATATAAAAACTACTTAGGTAAATTAATTTAACTTGAACTATAATTTATAGAGTGAGGGATAAAATAAAGAATGGAAGAATAAGAAATAAAATGAAAAGAATGTGTTGTATGGATGAGATAAAATAGCGGTCGACAAAATAAAAAACTTATTTAGACAAGAAAAATAGAAGATAAAAAAATTACATTATAATTTAATTTTTTATTATAATATTTTTAATAAAAATATTTTAAAATTTTAATTTTTTGAAAACTTTATAAAAATTATTTAATAATTTTCAGTTTTCTTTTCGTGATTTTCTCTCAAATTGGAAAAGTGGTTTTATTTTGAAAAGTTCACCACCTTTTTGAATTCATTTTCTTTTCATCTAAACACACCTTATTTTTCTTTTCTTTTAATTTTTCCTTTTAATTAAATTTATTTTCCCTAAATATGTCCATCAAAGCACACCCTCAAGCAAATAGAAAATTTCAAGTTTCTCAGTTTAGTCATTTTACATGTTAAAATAAAACGAATCTAGTTCACTTTTAGATAATATTCTATGCTTTATAATAAATTCTCAAATCGAATCTTATCAATCAAAATCCAAACATGTTATTTAATTTGTATCAGTAAGCCAACGTTTGCTTACAGAACTCAAACAAGGTAGAGTATTAGAATCGTTATTTGCTTAGCCTGTTATTGTGTCATATCCATAGTTAGGAACAAAGTTGTATAAGATAGCTCATTTCTTGGTTCAAACATAGCTCACATGTCTCATTAAACACCAGTCCTTAGTTGCATAAGATATGTTCGACAAGAGTAACATGCTACATACCAAATGCAAGAAAGATAACAAAAATGCATTAAACTTCAAAACTTTTTGCACCCCAATTATCGGACAAAACCCTCCCCATGTAGCGAAGCCAAACACCCACTTGCCACATCATGTTACTATTGATTAGTGAAAAAGTGCAGAGAAATTCTTAATTAGTATATGTAATCATATTTTTAAAAATTTAATTTTTAATTGAATTCAATAACATTATGTGTTCTATGAGATAAGGGTTGATTGTTGAAGGTGACATGCTGCTGTGCCTAATCAAGAATATGTGCTGAGATGCTGAAGGTGACCTTTGATGCCAAAGCCATAACTGTTCTTTGGTCTTCATAATATTCTAACAGTAGAGATGAAATATTACCAGCACGAGAAAACTAGAAGCCTGAGCCAAAATTCAACAGAGTTCTATCATTTTCGGGAAGAAATATATATAAAAAATAATATTGCTAAAAAGGGGTAGAGCAACGTAACATTTTTTTACAGCACGCAAATTGATGCAACAGATTAAGATGTTGATAAACTATGCTGAGTTTGGAAATTTAATAAGGGAAGCTAACCAAGCTAGCTTGGTAGATTGACGATGGATTTCATTATTTTAGGAGAGCCCATCGATCTCAAAGTAATATTATATTAAGATCTTCAGGTTTCTTGCAATTATTGCTGCTAATGTTAATGTTAAGAAATCACATAATTAATGCCATTAAGATATCAAGTTTTGGTTTATGTGTAAAGTGCCAGAGGTCCTGTTCCATGCAGAAGCAAGCATTTGGATACGTGGATGGGAATCGAGTAAAAAATGTTATTTTGTAGATATAAATTCAACCTGGGATTCAGTTCGATTCCATAAATTAACTTAGCCAATCTATTTAATTAATCAAAGCGTAAAATTTAATATATGATTAGCATCCATCTGCATTTTGATTTTCTAATCTGTGACATGGATCAACTGCATGTTATCTGTGTCAAACAGTACAACTTAGCTATATATGAGTGATCTATATGTATAATAAGTGTCCAGCCATTTTTCTGGCTTCTCTATGCTGTAAATTTTTTCCATCTAAAATGGCTTTTTAATTATTGTCACATTATTGATGGAACTTTTTTAATTGAAACATTAATGCTAATAGTGGCCAATTTATATCTACTTTTTTTTTTAAAAAAAATATTAGTAATTTATAGTTTTGATTTTTTAAAATGTAATTTGTTAAACTAATTTTTTTAAATTAGATGAATGTGTATTTAAAAAATTAAATATATATATATATATATAATGCATTAGAAATTTCTTAATTTTTAACAATTGGAATATTTATTTTTTAAAATAAAAATTATCCACTTTTTAAAGTAAGATTTATTATATTTCATATAATGTGTGGATAATGTATATATGATTATTTAAATATTCTTCTTATAAGGAAAAAAAATAAAAAAGTGCAACTCATCATAAGAGCTTTTAAAACTCTAAGATGTGTATGTATTTTGTGATATTTGGCATTTATAAGGTAAAAGAATGTAGTTTTTTTATAATGACAATTTTTTTTACCTGAGCATATATCATTCAAATTAATTACTCGTTAATGAAAAAAATAAAGTTATAATTATAATTATTAGTTAAAAATGAATGGAGAAATCAAATCGCTGGTATTCAGACATTTTTTGGACAAAAATAACCTTTCTAAAATTTCAAGTCATTTCTGTTGCCATTCTCGCCTCAGCGGCACAAGTGTAGCCGTCGCCGTCGTCGTTCGCCTCCGTCGTTTGTGTCTTCCCTTCCGTTTCCGTCACCGTCAGGTAATTTGCGCTGCCAACCATTCCTTCAGTAGATTTGCATTTATTGAGTGTTTTCCCTCCGTTCTCGAACGCATCGTAGTTCTTGAGTGTGTTCTACTTAGATCATTGAAATGCCAAGTATGTCATTGCTCAGTGTTTTGTCTTTCATTTTTTGGATAATATTTGGTGTTTGTGGCTCCGATAAGCGCACTCTAGCTCTTTGCCAATAATTTTTGCTTAGCTGCACATAACTTGTTTGATAAAATGCCAGAAAAAAGTTGACTTCTAGTGATTATGATATGAGCATTCATGCTGGATGATGACTCTGAAGTTTTTTTTTTTTTGTCTGATTCATCCTGTTCTCTGCGTTTTAGTGATATATGAATCATGATGCCTTGAGTCTTGCATATATATATGAGCTTATGAACTACTTATGGCATAAGCTGTACAAGCTATAATGACTATACTATGGGATGACTAATAATTTACCGAACTAGTTCTGTTCTGGGTATCTGATCCACTTTTTTTACAATGATAGAAACTTAGTAGATGATTTGTAACCGGACCAGGTTGCTAAGCCCTCTTGCTGGAGTACAAAGAAAAACTGAAACTAATTTCGAGAACCTTTTCATCATTCAAGCAAGATAATATTCCCTTTATTTTAAATACAAACGTGTTAAGCTGAATGTTACTTGAAATTAGGCATGTTATCTCAACTCTCATTTCTAATACTCCTTGTTATATGTGGAGATAACTAGCTATGGAATATATATACAGTTTCATCATTTTGTTCTTTTCAAAACCTTTTGAACAAAAGAAAGGGTGTGTGTGTGTGTGTGTAGAGAGAGAGAGAGAGAGAGAGAGAGAGAAATAGGGATATATCTATTTAGAAGGTTATTTTTATGTGAGAATGAGAGGGGCACATTTTGGTCATACAATCATACATTGTTCGTTAACATTAAAATTTTTTCATAATAATATGTATGTTTAAATCTTGACCATTCATAATAATATTTAATGGTCAACACTCAATATTCAACCCTCTCACTCTCATAAAAATGCTCCTCTTCACTTGATTCATCTGCTTCCTCCACCCCACACACATAATATTAAAAAAACTCCTCTTCTTGATATTTTTTTTTCCCTGTTTCTTGATCTTTCAATTCAAAAGTTAATGCCTTGTCTATTAGTGTACTTTAGTTGTTCCCAACTCCCCATCAACTTGGTTTGGTATTATTTTGGTCAATCTGTAAATTGTTTGCTTTTGATTTTTGGTTGATTTTTTCATTAAAATGTGTTTTAGATAAAATATTAATGAGGAGAGTACCCTGGTATGTTTGATGTGTATGTGATCTTTCTTTATTCTTGGTGGCAGCTTTCCGGAGGCCTTTCTATGCTCATGTTTCTTGCATTATAGGGAAGAATTAACAGTTATCATTATAGGTTTCTGTTTAATGAAGTCTTAATACATTTTTTATGTATATAAAGTCTTAATAAATTTAAGGGTAAGGCACTTTGACTGATGAATCAATCTCATGAGCTATCAATAGATTCAACACATCAAATCCTTGTTTGTTCCCTTTTTTTCTGATCTGTTTGTTCACTTTATTTATTTTAATATCATACGGCTACTCTTTGTCAACTGTTAACATTCTTGCTTATAACACAAGAACATGAGGAGAAAAAGACTTTTCGTTTTGAGAGGAATTGATGGTGTATAAATCTTTAATAACCGAATTGAGTTATGCAGGTTTCCACACATTGACTTGGTTATGATCGTTTAACAATTATTTGAGTCTCAAAATGGTGATTCTTTCTGTGTTGCCAGCAAACTATTCAGGTTTTTTCTAACTACGTTGGTTCCTTCGTAGACATGCTTATTTTGCCTCCTGTATAACATTATTTTTCTTGATATGTTGTAGGTTTCCTTCATCTAGGCACTCCTCTTCAGCCATCAAAATTTCCAGCGAGAGTTGAATATCACAAGAATGTTTCTCTAACACCACAGAAGGTAACTATTTCTTATCTCTTCATTTTTTTCTTTCTTCCGTCCTTCACTTTTTGGGTTTGCGCATGCGTTTCTAGAGGCAATACACAATTTGGGATTACATGCTTTATGTTTGCAGATTTTTGCAATGAAGATAAAACAAAAGTATGCAAACCATGTTTGTGCCAAATTTGTGACCTCTGCTGCAAGAAATGATCATCACCATCTAAGATATGATGATGATGATTTGTCTCAGGAGCCCTTTTTGCTAACACTGATCAAAGATGCCATATGGTATTTTTTGAAGCTTCAATTTGTCATCAAGTGCCTTAGCATAATTAAATACTGTTCTTGTAATGAATTGATACTATTTTTACAGTCATTAAAGACTTGAATTTATTTAGTGAATTTTATGGAAAAATACAACCGTATCATATCTTTACTAATAATTCTATCTTCTTTTCCAGGGGCCTAATATCTTTATTTAAATTTTTATTTGAGCAACCTAGCCAGCTGAAGTACATAGAGTGGCCTAGCTTTAGTAGTACGGTATGCCTATCAGTTTATTATTTATCGTTGAACACCATAGTGATTCCGCATTACTTTCATAATGTGTTCTGTCATATTTTTTTAATTCATAATAATTAATGTATTGAATGATCACTTATTTTTATTAATCCTTTGCAGCTGAGGACTGCGATTATGACTCTTGTACTTGTTGGATTACTTATTGTTGCGTTATCATCTGTTGATTCGGCTCTCTACTATCTCCTGGCCTTAGCACTTCGGAAATGCCCATAACTGTGTGGTACTATGTTACCATTATTATATAAGCATTGACTTCTGATGGCTGTTAGGTCTATAATCTTTAACGTGTAAATCTTGACTCCTATTCTGAACTGGAAAAGAATTAAGCTACTCAAAAACATTCTGTTAAAGCCGTTGCATTGCAGCTCAGTGAAGGAAATGTTTGCGTTGCATAGAATCTGGTTAACATAATTTCTTATCAATGTAACAATAGGGACTGAAGGGGTAAGAGGCTATGGTATTGGCAGCTAACATTTGTCAAATTTATAACACGTGTATACAGCTTTAGCAATATTATGAATCATTTATGTAGATAAGTGATGAAAGCAGGAAATGACTAAATCTCATTTTACGTGGAGCGATTGCAAGATTATAACTTAATTGCATAGATAAGTGAAATAAAAATGGAAATGATTTATACATATTGTGTGTCTGAGTGCGTGTGTGGCATGTGTGTCTGCGTATGACACAAGCACGGTGCCCCTTCAAGATAACTTTGGTCAGCACGACTCTTCAAGATACCTTCGGCCAAAGTTTGAGTTTTGCTGTTGACTTCGTGGCCAATGGTTATGACAAGATCAATAATTTCATATGTATTATAGAAACAAATTGATTAAATTCTGTATGTAAAATCTAGTGTTAGGGTTGTTCCCCTCTATTGCACGGGTCATATCTATGAGGATTGGATAATGGGTTTTAGTCGTTTCAATTTACACACGATTGCATGTCCTCAGGAAAGGCTATGAGCTTGTCCTTCTGTTTTGTAATTATACATGTAATTGTGGTTATCTGGCTGGCTTGAATAAACGATACAATGAGTTAAACCAACAAAATTGAAACAAATTTATTTTGATCCAAGTGAGTCAAATTCGATTCGGCTAATGTCAGAAGTAATGTATTAATTAACCGCTATAATTTTTGGTTTAGTAACATCAGCATTATGGCGTGGCACGAAATGGGCAAAAGCTACAAGAACTGGCATGGACTCTGGTGAGATGCTGTTTGAGATTCCACTAGTTATCCATCCCTTGAGAAGTCTTTTTCTTCATATCAACCTTTGGATTTGCAATTCAATTAATTGAAAGTGACCTATGATGCCAAAACCATAGCTGTTTCCTGGTCTTCATTCATGTTCGGTAAAATGATTAGAAATACTGACGCTTGAAAACCGTGGTAATATGGTTGTCTGTGACACCATGCCTAGTTAGGTTCTATTCCCTTACTGTTTTTGAATCCTCGAATCCTTTTGGGGTAGCATTATATTTCAGGGAGTTTATGATTGTGATTTCCCGTAATGAGGAAAGCCCGTGATCTTTTCTGCTACTTAGACTCAGTTTGAATTAACTTTTCAATAAATATTGATGCAAAATAAAAATTAGAAAATCAAATAAATCAAATTTCTCCTATAAGTGAAAATTAAAATCAAACTTCCGTTATTCTACTTTTTTTTAGAACATTTCTTAATTAACCTTTTCAAAATATAAGGTGTGTGAGTTAATTTTATCTTAGATAAAGGTTTTTTTTTTCATTATTTTTTTTCTTTTACAAGTACTTTTACAAAATTTTATCCAAACTGAAACTTAAAAATTTTAAAATTATTATGAAATCACTAAACAATCGCTAAATTAACCTATCTTAATCAATATTATTTGATTCATGTAGTCAATCCTTGCAAAAGATTCAGATGTTATTAGTAAAATATGCTCAGAACTGAGAAAAATAATAAGTGACAGACAAAAGTAAAATTGCAGTGTACCATTCAGATTGTCATATTTTAGCAGACCTTATCGATTAGAGTATTACAGTCAGATCATTAGGCTTCTACTAATTATCACTACCCAATAAAAATACCTATTGTTCCATACATGTATAAGATATTCAGATAAATCATATTTTCTTTATTTATAGTGAAGTTTTATGCTGGACTTCCAAGAATTCTGATATTATTTTGGACGATCAGACTGCATACAATCAAAATTTTTAGGTTTTTTAGTTATCAGACAATCTGTCTGCAGAACATCTCTTCCCATTTTTTGTTAAGGTTCTAATCATGTTCCACAGGTTCGAAAATCATTCAAGAAGTCTCATACTGAATATCAATGGACTTCATTCATCAATGTAACTGAATTAAGGTTTAAGCAGATCAAATGCATCTTCATCCAGAGTTTAGGAAGATATTTCCCTATTACCGTTCCACTACTTTTAAGGTAAATGTGCCTGAGGTTCCAAGCTACACCCCAAACGTTCTGAACCTGTGCACTCAATTCAAGAACTAGCTAAGGGTCATTATGGCATTTTCAATACTCATTCTAAATATAATAGCAGAAATTTTGATCAAGCATGGTCTTTCCTTTTGTTAATCACTCAGTATCATTACACATTTCTATTAGGATCAATACAATAACTGAATCTGCCCAATGTCCTCTTGATACTTGTTAATCATTGGAAGCTTTATTATTTCAGCTCAACAACGAAGTTGATCCTTGCAAACCTTTAGTGTGGTTCTTAGCAGGCGCACTTACGCCAATTACAAAAACTGCATGTATATTATTGTCCCTCCATTTAGTAGCTGCATTGTTTCCTCAAAAAACGAAATATAATATACACAACAGGTGGTTAGTTCAAGTGATACATGCTTGATTCCTCGAGTAAAGCCTCATATTTGAGCCTTGTGTATGAAAACAAAAATCTCTGGGAGAATTAGCCGATCATACTGTGAATGTTCTTGACTCAAACAGAATTGTCTCTTGTAGAGGAAACATGTGGTTTAGACAAATAAGAAAAAGACACATTATACCTACTATATCATTCATTGGTTTTTCAATTATACTATGATGCTTGTGAATTATCATTATCTTGCATTGTGTAACCTTGTTGAAATCCCATGGAATCACATTTAGTTGACTACATATGAATTAAGATGTAACCGTTTTACTATCTAAGTTGGTAAACTGGATGATGAGCTTCAGAAAGCAGACAGAATAGCTCGGCTAAATGCTAGAAAGTCGGAAACTTGCATGTCTTGAAGCTGAAAATGTAAAACTGCTTCACCAGCACGAAAATGAAAAAGCATTTACCATCATAGAATGGCCTAACCTGAAGCTACAAGGGCTGAATCAGTGGTAGGTGCACGGTTAAAACATAGAATTCAATGTCCAAACATTTGGAAAATAACTTACAATTAGCATACTGGATAGAGATTAGAAGAAAATACGAACTCGTCATCCTTTTATATTGAAGGATTTAATATAAAAAGGGCTGTAAATATTAGGTGAAATGTTGAACTGCATGCACGCCACTTAAATGGAGAGGGTATGAATGGGAGACACCAGCCAAATGCCAAATTTGAAAGACAGATAGCACAATGACTTCACAAAGATGTGGTTCAACGAAATTGCTAAGAGTTAAGAAGTACTGGAGGATAGATAATTTTGATCATTGCTATGCCCAAGAAATGAAGACTCTGAATTTGAAATTTGAACAGTGAATACCGGTTCATAAATAGAAAAAGCAAAATCGCCAAATCCAAAATAATAAACTCTAAAGTCATTTTGGTATTCTTTCAAATGCACCAAAATATCTTGAACTGTGGAACAAACTATGTACTAGATTGCTGGTGTAAGGAGAGTTTTTGAAATGTAAGTAGAATAAAGTAATGTGAAACATTGAATAAAACTTTGCTGAATGCTGGCTTTTTTGACAAATTGAACTTGGACTTTTGAGGTAAATGTATTAATTATTACTGGAGCTTTGTTCCCCGAAATCGATTGCAAAGATATGTGAATTTGGAAGATATTTTCTGCAGAAATATTGATTCTCCAAATACTAATAGCAAGATTGATTCTCCAAATAAAAAGAAAAATAAATATGAAGTCATGTTGACGCACCTATTACAACCTTTAGTATATATATTCAAGAAAACAAGAACCTAACCTCAACAACAACATGAAGACTGAAGAGGCACAACACAACCTTGAAGACTTGAAAAACCTCTGACATCATCTATATATATATATTCAACAAATTGAAGTTTCCAGAGAACAACCTAAGTCATTCTCTCAACAAATTGTACTAAAACCAGCCAATAAGCAACAAAGCCAAACCTGTCAAATGAAACACCACAACTCCAAAACATACATATCAGCCCAAAATGAACTAACTCTATTTTGCTTTACTATATATACACTTGTTCACCATCACAACCATGATGGTTCAACTCATCATTCATGAGGAAACAAGTCTAGGACTAGGGGTAGCTTAACAAAATAAAAACAACTATGACACTGACCTTCAATGTTAAGAGTTTCTTGAAAAGTGTTCACACAGAAAAGTTTTTCACTGCTTCTTATGCATATGAAATGATAGAGCCAAAGTGGGAGTGGCACACATGCGTGTATCTTATCTTATCAACACAATCAAGTTCCTTGGCAAAGTGGGCATTATAATTATTATTATGATGATGATGATCATAATGATGATGATTCTGGTTTCCGTCAGCTTTACTCACTTTTGGGGTCCCACAATCAGCATCCAATACAGTTGTTAAATAAAAAACACTATAGCATATGGGACACATTCCAAAAAGTGACAAAACCACATTATCATGATTATGCAATATGCGATATATGTGCATTGAAAGTCTAAGGAATGGTAAGAAAAAGGCAAAAGAAAAAGTAAAAAAAGGAGCAGAAGAAGAAACCCATCTGGCCCAGTGGGCTTGCATAAAAAGAGACAAGTGGCAAATAAACTCCTTGTGATGGCCCACCAATGAGGTCCAAAGCCATCAGCCACCGCTCCTTAAGGGGGGCAAGAACTGACTTTAGGAACATCCCTAAAACGAAAGGCAAGTTGTTGATAGAGACATTCATCAATATATGCATATAGTAAATGATAAAAGCATCAAAAGAAGTTCCGTGTCTACAATTTTTTTAATAATAACATTATTATATTTATTTGTCATTGCCATAACTGGTCAAAATCTTTCATTTTCAATCTCCACCACCCCCCT